AGGAGGAGGGAGGAGGGAGGAGGCGGAGGCGGAGGCGGAGGCGAAGGCGGAAGCGGAGGCGGAGGAGGAGGAGGCGGAGGAGGGAGGAGGGAGGAGGGAGGAGGGAGGAGCCTGTTGGCTTATTTTAGAGCTCTCTTGGGTGAGCCTTCCTGGGGCCACGGTGGGGGTCTCCGGCCGTGGAGCTCGCTGTGGTGCCTGTTGGGCAGCTCCTAGGGCCGCGCGGGGCTGTCTGAAGGGGGCCCACAGGTGCTCTCCGTGAGTGGGAGGCTGCCTCGGGCTGCTTTTCGACATTGGGAGGAAGGGGGGGGAGCGGGGGGGTCTGGCTCTGGATCTCTGCTTAGTGCGACTGTTTGCAAGAGTGCTGCCTCGGGGAGGTCCCCACCTGCTCGAAACAGGCGCCAAAAAACAACCAAGATCTACTCGATGGGGGTGGGGGGCCCGTGCCGATCGGCAAAACAGTGAATAAAAAGACGATCACGGTCTGGGATGGCCCTGGAGCTGTCTGGGGCCGTTCTTGGAGCGAACTTGCGAGAACATGGGAAACCTTCGAACACCACAGGGAAATCTATGATTCTGGCCTCGGAGGCCGGTCATCGGGGTCTGGCTGAGCAGCCGTCGGAGGCACCTGGCCTATCGTCAGGTCGTGCTGGGCTGCCATGGAGCTGAAATCCGGGCTCGCTTGGGATGTCCTCGCTCCCTTTGGAGCGTCTCACTGCGATATTCCGGCTGCCCGAGGCCGTGCTGGCTGGGGGGCTCTCTGGAGCCGTCGGAGAGCGGCGGGGCCCTCTGGGCGGCCGAGGACAGCTGGCGCACTGCTGGCACGACTCTCACGCGCAACGACCAGGAGTGAAGTACAGATAACGTCGGGCTCCAGCTTCGCCTCACACATCTCGCTCAGCAGCGCCAGCGCCCGCTGCCACTGCTCTCCCTTCTCGCACGCGCTGATCCCAGCACTGTAGCTGATGATGTTGGGCTTCAGCTTCGCCTCCTTCATTTCGCTCATCAACTCGAACGCCCACTGCCACTGCTCGCTCGACTCGCACGCGCTAATCCCAGCATTGTAGGTGACTAGTGTGAGCAAGCGGATGAAATCCACAGTGTGCTGAGCCTAGGACTCGCACGCCGTGGTTGAACAACTCGCCGAAATTGAACAGCTCGGGCGTCCCTGGGGGCCGTGTTTGGGGCAAGGTGGGCCCTCCTGCGAGCCTGTCCTCGGCGTCATGAAGTCGTGAAGGGCTCTTGCCATTTTTGGGCACCTCTGGGTCCGTTCCCGGGCTTTTCCTCAGAGCCTCTTCTGGGGGACAGCCCAGGAAACTTCATGTGCTGTGAGGGTACTGTCAGCAGGTCCCCCATGCCACCCCTGAGGTTAGCTGCAGGGTTTGCTGCAGGCTCCGGGAGCCTGGGCTAGAGGCTGTCTTCGAAGGTCATGGGGGGGTCTGCGCCATCTCGGGGTTGTCCAGGGAGGGATCTCCTGGTCTTGTGGGTGCCTTTGGGGCCACCGAGGGCTCTACTCGACCGAAGGGGGGGAGCGAGATGCTGGCCCCCGCAGTGTCTACAGGCCCACCCCCTCTGCGATCCCTAACCGGCCGTAGAGGGGGAGCGACCGAAGTGGCTGTAGGTCCCCCCTGTCAACCATAAACAGGCGCGGAGTGGAGGCCCCGGAGCGCCCGGAGCCTCGATGAGGGAAGGAGGGAAAAGTTCAGGCCCCCCTGTCACCCTTAATCGGCCGCAGGGGGGGAGGTCTTGAGGGAGACTTTGGGCCAACTCGGAGTGGTCATGGGACCGCTCTTGGGAGCTACGTGGGAACTACTATGGACTATGGGAGTCTCTTCCTGGGACCGCTCTCGGGAGCTCTATGGGAACTGTCGGAGTCTCTTGGCCAGCGTCGGAGTCTTGTGGGCGACTCTGGAGCATCTCGGAGTGGCCCTGGGACCGCTCTGTGGAGCTCCGTGGGGACAATCGAAAAAAAACTCTTGGGAGGCTCCAGCTGGGGCATCTCGGAGTGGTCTGGGGCCTGCTGTGGGGGTCTGGGGCTGTCTTGGGGGCGTTTGGGGTTCGAGGGACGGCGAAAGGGTGCCATGGCTCCAGGCACTCTCCCTGGGTGCTCCGTGGGAACCATCGGAGTCTAATGACAGACTCTGGGGCATGTGGGAGTGGTCCTTGGAGGAGGCTTCTTGGCCCATTGGGGGCTGCGGGAAAGGAGTCGTCTGGGCTTCCTTCGGCCACTCTTGGAGCCCTCGTGGGGTTCTCTCCGGAGCCTCTAGGGGCCCTCTTGGCCGTTGCGGTGATCTCTTTGGCCGTCTAAGGGGCCTCTTGGGCCGTCCTGGGGCCATGTAAGGGGGTCTCGGGCCGTCTTGGAGCTCGCTGTGGTACCTGTTGGACAACTCTTTGGGCCGCTGGGGGCTGCCTTGGGGCTTCTGCTGGGCAGTCGGAGCCTCTGGAGCCGTCTTGGGGCTCTTGGCGAGGCATCCTGGAACGTCTTGGGGCGATCTGGGATGGCCCTGAAGCCGTCTGGGGCCGTTCTTAAGCCGAAAAGGCGAGAACATGGGAAATCTGCAAAATCCCTAGGAACATCAGTGGTTTTAGCCTCGAGGGACCGTCATCGGGGTCTGGCTGTGCCGCCTTCGGAGGCACCTGGCCCGTCGTCGGGCCGTCCTGGGCTGTTGCGGAGCTCGGTTGGGGACCTCCTGGGACGTCCTCGCGCCCTCCAGAGCGACTCGGAGCGATGTTCGGGCTGCCCGAGGCCGTGCTGGAGCAGCCTGGGGGGCTCTCTGGAGCCGTCGGAGAGCGGCGGGGCGCTCCAGGTGGTCGGGGGCAGCTGCCGCACCGCAGGCACATCTCGCACGCGCAACGACCAGAATTGCAGTGCAGACGAGGGCTGACCCGTGGACCCTGTCCACGCAATCTTTCTGAAATGGTTCTCGCAGGAGCGGCGGAGATGCTGCCGAAAGGCTATCAGCATGGCGGCAGCGTCACCCTCCTCTTCCTGCTCATCCGCCCCCTGCCTCGACGTTGTGCAAATTCGGGCGGTCCACGGACATCAGAAGCAGGACCTGGGTGAGCTCGGATTGTAGCCTTGAAGGTCGACACGCGCATGTGACCAGAACCACCGACTCCAGAATGGAGTACAAGGCAGCGATGAGCCGTAATGAGGTTCTGTGTGCGACATTTGTTGTGAATTGTGCTTTGCTGTTGCTGATGCTCGCTGCTGCTGATGCTGCTTACTGCTTACTGCTGGATCTTCCTCCTCCTCCTCCTCCTCCTCCTCCTCGTCCTCATCTTCGTTCTCCCCTCTGTCGCTCGATCGGACTGTTCAAGACGGCTCTGTGGGGCCTTCTATCCGCTGCTCGCCCCTCGTCCGCTCCGAAGCAACGCGGAAGCCACCGAGGGACTCCTGGCGGCCGTTTGGGGGCCTCTTCTTCTTTTCGGCTTCCCAGGGGCTTCTTGCGGCCATTTTGGGCCGTCTAGGGTGCATCTGAAGCCGTTTTGGGCCATTTGGAGGCGTCTTGGCTGCCTCTTGCGCTGTCTGGGAGCCGTTTGGGGCCGTCTTGGGTCGCTCTTGGGCCGTCCTGGGGCAGTCCCGGGAAGTCTGGGGACGCTTTGAGGGCTGTTCTGGGTGCCTGTTGGGCCGTCTTGGGCGCCAGTTGGGACGTCGTGGAACACTCTTGCGCAATCTTGGGGTCCTCTTGGGGGCCTGTTTTACCGTCGTGGAGCGATCTGACTGGGTCCTGGAGCTGTCTTGGGCCGTTCTTGGCCGAATATGGCGAGAGCGTGAAATTCTTCAAAACCGATCGGATATCTGTGATTTTGGCCGCCGGGGGCTGTCAGCGAAGGGCCGCTTTCGATTCCACCAGGCATGTTTCCGGACCCTCTCGGGCCACCCTTGGGCTCGCTGGGAGTCCTCTGGGGCCGTCGGGGTGGCTTCTGGAGCGTTCCGAGCCGTCTTGGGGCCGTCGGGGCGCCCGAGGGAGGGAGGGAGGGAGGGAGGCGTCTCTGGCTGGGGCCTTCGGAGCGCCGTCATGAACGAGCCGCCGTGAGCCACTCGATTCACGGATCCTTCCTGCACGCACACGTCCATGCATTGTACAAGGTAATGACGTCGGGCTCCAGCTTCGCCTCACTCATTTCGCTCCACAGCGCGAGCGCCCAGTGCCACTGCTCGCCTTTCTCGCACGCGCTGATCCCAGCGCTGTAGCTGACCAGTGTGTGCCCGTGGAACAAATCCGCAGGTACCCTGGCAGCGGAACGCGGCGGGCGGGGCCATCTCTGGGCCATCTTCGGTCGTCTTGGTCGCCTCTTGCGCCGTCTCCGGGCGTTCCCTGAACTCTCTTGCAGCTCTCTTGGGCCGTCTTGCAGCCTTGCAGGAAGTTCTGGGAGCACCTGGAGGACCTCGAAAATTGCACACAGGGGAGCTCGAGAGGGCCCGAAGACGGCCCTCAGGAAGCCCCCGACGGATGCTACAACAGGCGGGTGCGTTGTGCCATCCGTTAGGGGGACTCTTCGGGCTCTCTGGGAGCGCTCTTGGGGCCGTCTTGGTATGCACCTGGGGCTCTAGTGGGCCAACTCTTGGCCATCTTGGGTCGTCTCTTGCGCCGTCTCAGGCTGTATTGGGACTCTCTTGCGCCGTCTTGGGCCGTCTTTGGGCTCGCACGAGCCGCAGAAACCTGTAAGTGTTGCACCGGGAGGTCCTGCTGGGAGTGCTCTTGGAGCGCTCTGGGGGCCTTTTGGAAGGCTTTTCGACCGCTTGGAGGCCGTCTTGAGCTATCCTGGGGCTCTCCGAAGCCGTCTGGACGCCATCTTGGGCCATCCTGAGACCATCCTCGACAGGATTGGGGGCATCTTCGGCGAACTTGGAAGCTCCCGGGACTCTCTTTGGCCGTCTGGGAGGCACAGGCCCTCCTGGCGAGTCCTACTGGCGACTGTGCAACAAATGCCACCTTCCACACGCTGCTCCAGGTATTCTGTGGCGTCGGGCTCCAGTTTCACCTCCCACATCTGGCTCAGCAGCTCCAGCGCCCGTTGCCACTGCTCGCCCTTCTCGCATGCGCTGATCCCAGCGTTGTAGCTGACTAGGGCGAACCCGTGGACTTCGTCCACGTCGTCTTGGGCCAGTCTTGGCTCGAAAAAGACGTCTTGGGCCTGTCTTCGCTCGAAATGGCGAGAAGGTGGAAATCTTTCAGAAACCATCGAATAATCAATGATTTCGTTTGCCGCGGCTCGTCTGGAGCGTCTTCGAGCGGTCTTGGGCCGTCTCGGAAGCCCTCTTGGACCGCTTCCTTTTCTTCGTCCGCCTTCCGCTCTGGCTCCGCCTACATAGCCTTCTGAGCGTCACAGACGGCCATGGTGGGTCTGCAGTGTACGTCTCGCCGCTCGTCAATTTTGAAAGCACCTGGGGCCTTGAAAAAGGCACCCGGAGGGCTCTGGTGACTTTTTTCGTGTTGCCTCTTCGAAACCTGATGGCGGGCGCTGCCGTCTCCTTGGGAACGGTTAGTGGGCCTCTCGGAGATTCTTTTGGAGCTCCTGGAGGACTGCTCTGTTGGGGCCTCGTTGGCTGTCTTGCGGCCTCCTAGGGGCCTCTTGGGGCTCTCTTGGGCCGTCTTGCGGCCTCCTGTGGGCATTTTCTCTTGAATTTTTGTTTGGGCACCTCTGGGGCCGTTCCCGGGCTGTCCCCCCGATCCTCTTCCGAGGGACAGCCCAGGAAATCTATCGTGCTTGCGTGCTGCGTGCGTGCTCCTGTGTGAGGTCGGAAGGGTGTCCCGACGTCACCGCTCGCTCTTGGGAGCTGTGCCTGGGAGCGCTCTCTACGCTGCGGCTCGCTCTTGGGAGCATTGGTGGTGAGAAGAGCTTTGTACTTTACCGATCGCACTTTTAATGGGCGTCTCTGGGCCTGCTTGGTGGTCCTTGCGGGGGTCTTGTTCGGGCCATTCTGAGGCTTGTTTGGGCTGTTCTGGGAGCGTTTTGGCACGTTTTGGGGCCTTCTTGGGCCGTCACGGGGCGTCCAGGAGGCCTTGGGCCGTCTTGGAGCTCTCTTGAGGCTGCCTGAGGCCGTCTCGGGAGCCTCTTGGGGCCCCCTCGGAGCTCTCTTGGGGCCGTGTTGGGATTCTGTGAGGCCGCTTCAGGGCTCTCTGGTGTCGTCTTGGGTCTCTCGCGGGCCGTCTCAGAGCCCTCTGAGGGGCCGCTGGCGTCTTCTTGGGGCGATTTGGGGGGCCTCTTGGCGTGTCCTGGGCTGCTGAGGAGCACACAAGGCGGGCATGCTGCAAAGATACGTTTCTCCCATCGGAATGTGACGATTGGTGCCTCTTTGGCGTGCGCTCGAGGTCCTCTTGGGGCGTCTTTGCGGCCTCTTGGATCGTCGTGGAGCCCCCCCCCGGAAAGCTTCGGGCCCTCGTGGGCCGTCTCGGGACCCACTGAGGCCGTCTTGGAGAGCTGTTGGACGGTCTGGGAAACCCTCTGGAGCGCCTCTGGGACTGGCCTGAGCGAGTCGGCCCCGTGGTGGCACACGAGGCGATTTTGTGCACACGAGGCCCTGTGAACCCTTCTCGCACGCAGATCCACTGGCCATGTAGGAGAGACTAGGGCGAACCCGTGGACTTCGTCCACGTCATCTTGGGCCAGTCTTGGCTCGAGAAGGCCGCCTGGGGCCTGCCTTCGCTCGAAATGGCGAGACGGTGGACATCTTTCAGAAACCATCGAATAATCAATGATTTCGTTTGCCGCGGCTCGTCTGGAGCGTCTTCGAGCGGTCTTGGGCCGCCTCGGAGGCCCTTTTGGGAGAGCTGTCTACGCTGCGTCTCGTTTTTGGGAGCATTGGTGAGAAGAGCTTTGTACTTCACCGATCGCTGTTTTAAGCGTCTCTTGGCCTGCTTGGTGGTCCTTGTGGGGGTCTTGTTCTCTGAGGCTTGTTTGGGCTGCTCTGGGAGCGTTTTGGCACGTTTTGGGGCCTTGGACCGTCACCGGGCGTCCGGGAGGCCTTGGACCGTCTTGGAGCTCTCTTGAGGCTGCCTGAAGCCGTCTCGGGAGCCTCTTTGGGCCCCCTCGGACCTCTTGGGGCCGTGTTGGGGTTCTGTGGGGCCGTTTCAGGGCTCTCTGGCGTCGTCTTGGGGCTTTTGCGGGCCGCCTTAGAGCCCTCTGAGGGGCCGCTGGCGTCTTGTTGGGGCGATTTGGGAGGCCTCTTGGCGTGTCCTGGGCCGCTGAGGAACACACAAGGCGGGCATGCTGAAAATATACGTTTTTTTTTTCCAATCGGAATGTGACGATTGGTGCCTCTTTGGCGTGCGCTCGGGGCCCTCTTGGGACGTCTTTGCGGTCTCTTGGATCGTCGTGAAGCCCCCCGGAAGGCTTCGGGCCCTCGTGGGCCGTCTCGGGACCCGCTGAGGCCGTCTTGGAGCGCTCTTGGGCGGTCTGGGAACCCCTCTGGGGCGCCTCTGGGACTGGCCTGAGCGATTCGGCCCCGTGGTGACGCAAAGGGGCGATTTTGTTCTCACGAGGCCTTGTGAACCGTTCTCGCACGCAGATCCACTGGCCATGTAGGAGAAACTAGGGCTGACCCGTGGACTACCGCCCCCGAGTGCCAGAGGATTGAGAGCGCTCGTTGCTGCCTATTGCTTCAGAGTGCGCTGTTTGCTTGATGATCCTGACGGCGTCTGGAGCAGCGCTAGCAGCAGCAGCGCTAGCAGCAGCAGCAGCAGCAGCAGCAGCAGCAGCAGCAGCAGCAGCAGCAGTAGCAGCCTCCCGGGGGCCTTATCGTCCTCGTCCTCCTCGTCCTCGTCCTCGTCGTCGTCGTCGTCGTCGGCGTCGTCGTCGTCGTCGTCGTCGTGGTCGTCGTCGTGGTCGTGGTCGTGGTCGTCGTCGTCGTCGTCGTCATCGTCCACGTCGTCGTCGTCGTCGTCATCATCGTGGTCGTTGTTGTCGTTTTCGCAATCGTCGCCGCCGTCGTCGTCGTCCTCGGCTTCGGCGTCGTTGTGGTCGTAGTTGTCTTCCTTTTTGCGCCGTCGTCATCGTCGTCGTCGTCGTCGTCGAGGTCGTCGTGGGGGCCCGTATCGGTGGCGCGCGCCCCATGCGCTAGTCGGCGCGTCTCGCCGCGAGCTTGGCGGCAATGCTGCAATAAGGTCGCGGCAACGACGGCAGGCGGGAGCGCAGCTGGGTCCGGAGGCGGGAACGCGAAGCCTCTTGGGCCGCCCGCAGGCCATCTGAGGCGTTGTCGGGGCCGTCTGGGGGTTGCCTGGGTCCGCCTTGGGCGTCGCTGGAGCAGTCTGGGCACCGTCTGGCGGTCGTCTTGGGACCTGAACCGCTCTTGAGGCTGCCTTGGGTGCCCCGTGGGCAGCCATGGGCGCCTGAGGAGCCGTCCTAGGGCCATCTTGGGCCTCTGTATGGCCGTTTTGGACGCCATGGAAAGGGCAAGCCCAGGAACTGACAAAATGCACGCTTTCTCGCAAGAAGAAAAACGACACGATTTGTCAGTGTTCGGGCTCTTTTGGGGCTCGTCGTGGAGCGCTTGGAGCGTTTGGGAAGCCTCTTGGGCCGCCGCAAGCCATCTGAGGCGTTCTCGGGGCCGTCTGTGGGTTGCCTGGGTCCGCCTTGGGCGTCGCTGGAGCAGTCCGGGCACCGTCGGGGGTTGTCTTGGGCCGTCCTGGGCCGCTCTTGAGGCTGTTTTGAGTACCCCGTGGGCCGCCAGGGGCGCGTCAGGAGCCGCCCTGGGGTCGTCGTGGGTGGTCTTGGGGCCCTCATACGAGCATCTTAGGGCGATCTTGGGGGCGTCTATGGCCGTCGTGGACGCCCCAAATGCGCGCATTCCGATCGGCCTCTTGGGGCTCTCCTGGGAGGTCCTCCAGGGCCGTCTTGGGAGCCTCTGGGGACGTCTTTGGGCCACTTGGGCGCCTCTTGGGCTGCTTTGGGGCCGTCTTGGGCCGTTTTGAGCCGCTCTTGGAGCCCACCGTGGGTTCCTCTCGGGCTGTCGTGGGGCCTCTTTGGCCGTCCGGGGTCTGGGCTCGCCCGAGGGCGGTGTTGCCCCACAGGGCCCCCTGCCATTCTGGCACGCGGCTCCCCCGGCGTTAGAGTATAGATGGCGTCGGGCTCCAGTTGCACCTCCCACATCTCGCTCAGCAGCGCCAGCGCTCGCTGCCACTGCTCGCCCTTCTCGCACGCACTGATCCCAGCATTGTAGGTGACTAGGGCAGACCTGTGGACTCCGTCCACGACATCAGCTCGACGTGGCGAGGGGTCTCTGGGCAAGCGCGGGGGGGTGCGGCTGCAGGGCCGAAAGGCAATCATGATGGCGTCGGGCTCCTCCTCCTCCTCCTCCTCCTCCTCCTCCTTTTCCACCTTCTTCTCCTCTTTCGCTGGATTCTCCATGCCCTCGGTCGGCAATCGTCGATCCTACGACGACTCTCCCCAACAGAGAAACATCGAAGGCCCTCGGAGCGTCCAACATTGTTCTTTTGTGCCTTCGATATGCCGGTCGCCTCTCGTCCGCTCCCCCGCTCCTGGAAGGAATTCTGAAGGCACTGAAGGCTTCGTAGGGGCCGTTTCGGAGCCTCTTCGGCCTTCGTTTGGGCCTCGCGGGGGGGCTCTTAGGGCTCTCTCGGGCCGTCTTGGGTGCCTCTTGGGCCGTCTTCGGGCCATCTGAGGCCCTCCTTGGCGCCTCTTCGGCTGTCGTGGGCCGTCTTGGGCCGCTCCTGGGGCCGTCTTGGGTGCCTCTTGGGCCGTCTTGGGCGCCTCCTGGGCCGTCCGGACGCCGTCCTGCGGCGTCTTGGGACCGTCTTGGGGCCCTCCTGGCCCGTCTTGGGGCTCTCTTGGGGTCCTCTTCGGCCGTCTTGGAGCGGTCGGGGGGGCGTCTTGGGCCGTCTTGGAGCGTCGGGAAGGCGACGAGGCGAGGAGGCCGAAAACATTGACAAACACAATAGAAATCGACGATTTCTGTCGCTCGGGGCCCTCTTGGGAGGCCTCTTGGGAGGCCTCTTCGGGCGTCTTGGACGCCTCGAGGGCCTCCTGGGGCGAATCTCGGACGTCTTGGGCGCTCTTGGGCTGTCTTGGGCCGTCTTGGGCCGCTCCTGGGGCCGTCTTGGGTGCCTCTTGGGCCGTCTTGGGCGCCTCCTGGGCCGTCCTGGGGCCGTCCTGCGGCGTCTTGGGACCGTCTGGGGGCCCTCCTGGCCCGTCTTGGGGCTCTCTTGGTATCCTCTTCGGCCGTCTTGGAGCGGTCGGGGGGGCGTCTTGGGCCGTCTTGGAGCGTCGGAAAGCCGACGAGGCGAGGAGGCCAAAAACATTGAAAAACACAATAGAAATCGACGATTTCTGTCGCTCGGGGCCCTCTTGGGAGGCCTCTTGGGAGGCCTCTTCGGGCGTCTTGGACGCCTCGAGGGCCTCCTGGGGCGAATCTCGGGCGTCTTGGGCGCTCTTGGGCTGTCTTGGGCCGTCTTGGGCCGCTCCTGGGGCCGTCTTGGGTGCCTCTTGGGCCGTCTTGGGCGCCTCCTGGGCCGTCCTGGGGCCGTCCTGCGGCGTCTTGGGACCGTCTGGGGGCCCTCCTGGCCCGTCTTGGGGCTCTCTTGGGGTCCTCTTCGGCCGTCTTGGAGCGGTCGGGGGGACTTCTTGGGCCGTCTTGGAGCGTCGGAAAGCCGAAGAGGCGAGGAGGCCGAAAACACCGAAAAACACAGTAGAAATCGACGTTTTCTGTCGCTCGGGGCCCTCTTGGGAGGCCTCTTGGGAGGCCTCTTCGGGCGTCTTGGACGCCTCGAGGGCCGCCTGGGGCGACTCTCGGACGTCTTGGGCGCATCTTTAAGCGTGCCGGGGCTCTCCGGGGCCGTCTTGGAAGATTTTTGGGACCCTCTGGACGTGTCTTGGGGCCTCCCTGGGCGGCCCGGAGCCAGCCCGGGGCGGTTTTGGTTCATTGGAGCCTGCACCATTCTGGCACGCACTGGGCCCTGCAATGTAGTAGAGACTAGGGTGTACCCCTGAATTCAATCCACGGTGTGCTGAACCCCGATCGCGCACACCGAGGCTGGGAGCCGCTGAAGCCGAACGGGAACAGCTGGTCGGACGTCTCCTGCGGTGTGAGGAAGCGGAGGGAAGCGGGTGAGGCGGAAGCGCAGATAGCGGGTCTGGCGCGCAAAACGATGGGTTCCCTCGTAGCGCACACGGCGATGGCGACGGCGACGGCGACGGCGAAGGCAACGGCGGCGGTGACGGCGGAGACTGCCGGCGCGCGCGCGCGCGCGAGCTTGCGGGCTCGCGCGAGTCGGCCCACCCGAACGACGACGACGACGTCGCCGCTGCCATCGAAGTGGTTATCCCTGGGTCTTTCCCGTTAGCCCCCCCCCGCAACCATCATAATAGCATGGATGTTGCTATATTTCACAAAATAACGCTTATCGGAAGCGTTCAATGCAAAGCCGCCCGGGCAACGCCTGCAGCGTAAACATGTTGAAATTTTCATGGGTTTGATATCAATCGGGGGGGCCGCACGACTAAAACGCAGTAGAAAAGACGACGAAGGTGGAGGAGGAGGAGGAGGAAGAAGAGGATGGTCAATCGAATTCAGTCGTGGAGCCAGAGGAATAGGACGGAGGAGGAGGAGGAAAAGGGAGAGGAGGAGGAAGAGGGAGTTGGAGCAGCAGCAGCAGCAGCAGCAGCAGTCCAGGAGGAGGGCTCGGTCCTGGGGGGGCTACAGAAGCGCCGCCCGCCCCTCTCCGAGGCGCTCGGTGTGACTACAGAAGCGCTCCGATCCTTCCCCCGAAGCGCTCGGTGTGACAGGGTTACCCTCTTCGACTCATTGTAAGTATCTTGTGATCTTCTTTAAAGAGATGGAGGTATGAATAGAACCCCAGAAGAAACGCGTCGGTGAGGCATCGATGTCCTCTAGGGTTCGGACAAGATTCCCCGGCAGCGCGTGCTGGCCGCGGAGTCTGGCAATGAAGCGGGATCGATGGAACGGGTCCCAAGGAACCTGCGGCCCCCCCAAAAAAATCGTTGGATTCACGATGCGCTGTCCCGTGTGTCCCTTGCAATCGCCTGAAACGCGTGGTGTTTTCGAGAATTGCCCGAACCTGTCGTATTTGCAGAGTGCTTTCGACGATGTGGTCGGGGCGGCGCCAGCAGCGAAACGTGTATTTTCCTAAAGGATTTGGGCCGATTCGCAAGGACACACGGAGAAAACATTGGGTTTCGGAGGTATGTGCGGCGATGTCATGGACGGGCCCCTGTGGAAGCTTTCAAAGCCTGCGGCGGTCCTTTTGGCAATGTCGCGGGGCTCTAGGGAAAGTCTGGCGGTCCCAAAAATGGCCCGCCCTGGTAGAACGCACTCGAGATGTTCCAAGAGGGCTCGAAAATGATCCCCGGAGAGCTCCGAATGTCCGAAGAAACCTCGAAAAGCATGTGGGCGAACAGTGGCCCACCGCCCAGGCACGTTGGCGGGGTGCGCCGAAGGCCAGTGTTTTGAGGACGTGCGATTTTTCAACGTCGTTCAGGCGCTATGTGCTCGGCCGGATGTCGAGCAGTGGGTACGCGGTGGGATGTCTGCGCAGGGGCTCCTGAAAGTCGCTAAGCTCACAGAGGGACAGTCTTCGGGCACTATCGAGCTGGTTTGGGATTCCCTGGGGGGGTCTCGGGGGCCTCTTGGGGCCTTCTTGGGCTGGGTTGGGGCCGTCTTGGGCAGTCTTGGGGCACTCTTGGGCCGTCCTGGGGCCTTCTTGGGGGCCTCATGGTGGGTCTCGGGGGGGCCGTCTTGGGCCGGCTCGGGGCCGTCTTGGGCAGTCTTGGGAACACTTGGGCCGTCCTGGGGCTTTCTTGGGGGCTTCATGGTGGGTCTCGGGGGCCTCTGGGGGCACTCTTGGGCTGGCTTGGGGCCGTCTTGGGCAATCTTGGAGCACTCTTGGGCCGTTCTGGGGCCCTCTGAGGGGCCTTATGGGCGGTCTTGAAACGATTCGCGGCGCTTTTGGAGCCGTTCCGGCTCGAAAAAGCCCGAACCGGAAAAATCATCAAAAACCAATGGAAATCTATGTTTTTTACCCCCTGAAGCCTTTGTTGAAATCGTCAAGAGACCCTCTGGGGCCACTCGGGCCCTTCAGGGGCCCTGGGGGGGCCGTTTCGGGGCTCGCTCGGGGCTCTCGTGGATCCGTCACGAGCGGGCGAGGGCCGTTCGGGGAGCGCCGGTAACGGACCAAGACCGTTCCAGGGGCGCCGGCGGCGGACCATGACCCCAGGAGCGCTGGGGGCCAGGCCGAGTCCACTCGAGGGGGCCTTCGCACGCACTGATCCCGGTACTGTAGAGAAGTAGGGCTGACCCGTGGACTCGGTCCACGACATATTTCTGGAATGGTTCTCGGAGGAACGGCGCAGACTGTACCGAAAATCTACAAACACGGCGGCGGCTCGGGCGGCGGCAGCGAGACCGCGCCTTCGTGTCCGAGCTCTTGCAGCGCTCCAGCAGCTTGTCCCAGCGCACTGCTCGTTCACCCCCCTCCTATTGAGGGCAGTTTCGAAGTCTCTCGGGGATGTGCGTCGAAGCGAAGCCCATCTGAGGGGGGTCTCAGGAGCGCCCGGGGAAGGGCTCGGGAGGCCATCGGGGGAAGCCACCGAAAGCGCTGGGGAGGCTCGCAAGGATCTACAGGGAGGGTCCAAGAGAGCTTCAAGAGAATTTGAACTTCTGAAAATCTTTAGAGAAACCGCTGTTGGGTCGGCCATCACCTCTGGGCACGCCTTGATGGTGCGATCCAGTCGCATCACCGCCAACGGGAGGGTTTGTTCGCCATGTCCCATTCTGTTCGCCCAGAGGGTCTGTGGAGGCCTTCGGGCGAACAGAACGGGACAGGGAGGGCAGGAATGGGGAAGACTTGTCCGAATCTCCTGGGCCCCCCAGGTGCTCGTCCGAAGAATGCGGAGAGGTCCCTGGGTCATATCAATTGGCTGCTGTTTCAGGGGTCCGGTCTGGTTGGCCCGAAGAGTTTGCCAAGGCCCCTGGGGGAACATAATGGCACAGCATATCGGGCAAAGGGGGGCGGTAGCTGGCCTGTCAGACCCGGCGTTCGTCTTCTGCCCAAGCGGCGCGGGGCCCACGGGCCCCAGGGTTGGCGGCCCGCTGGGTTTCCTCGTGTTCCTCGTGTTCGCCCACAGGGTTGGAGGAGGCCTCCAGGCGAACATATTGGGGCAGGACAATGAATGTGGGAGACTTGTCGCAAGCTCCCAGCCCCCCCAAGTGTTCGCCCTAAGGGTGTGGGGCCGCGCTGGCTCCCTCAGAGGGCCGTCTTGGAGCCGTCTATGCCTGTCTTGAGGGCGCCGTTTGCCGTGATGGGGCCGTCTTGGTTCGTCGTGGGCCCCTCATGGGCGCGTCCGTAGGCCGTCCTGGGCCCATCGGGGTCCTTGTTGGCACTATCGTGGGGCTGTCTTGGAGCCGTCTGGGACCGTGAGGGGGCCGCCTTGGAGTCGTCTTGGGCCCCTCCTGTGCGCCTCCTTGGGCCGTCCTGGGCCCAGCAGGGGCCGTGTTGGCACCCTCTTGGGGCTGTCTTGGAGCCGTCTTGTCGCAGCGCGCCTTGGGTTGTGCTGGGTCCGTCTTGGCCGTCTTGGGGCCTTCCTGGGCGTTTCCTCGGACCCTCCTGGGACTTTCTGGGGCCTTTTGGTGCATCGGACAGCCGAAATGGCGGGAAACGCAGAAAGGGTGTAACAGTAAACAATGGAAAATGAACGATTCTTGCCAGCTGGGGCTCTCTTGCCATCTTGGCCCGTCTTGAGGCCCCGACCGGGCGCGTCCTTTGGCCGTCCTGGGCCCACCCTCCTGGGACCGTCTTGAAATCGTCTTGGGCCATCTTGAGCGCGCCTTGGGCCGTCCTGGGCCCGTCTGGGACCGTGTTGGCACCCTCGCGGCGAGGAAGCTCGGAGGCGGGCTCGAGGCCTCTTTGAAGCCATTTTGGAGGCTGCGGGTGCCTCTGTTGGGGCCTCGTTTGGGCTCCTTGGGAGCCTCCTGGGGCCTCTTCGGGGGATTCTTGGCGGCCCCTTGGGGCCTCTTGGGGGCCTGTTTGGGCCTCCTGGCGCCCTCTTGGGGCGGAAGGCTCGGATTTTCGATCCGTGGTCCCCCTCTTGGCCCCCTCTTGGGCCTGTCTTCGGGCCCTCGTGGGCCGTCTTGAGCGTCTCTTGGGTCGTCTTGGGGTCCTCTTGGGCTGTCTTGGGGTGCTCTTGAAGGCCTCTTGGGCCGTTCTGGGGCGCTCTTGGAGGCCATTTGGGCCGTCGTCGAGCGTCGGAAAGCGGAAAAGGCGAGAAGGCCAAAATCCTTCCACAACCGCCGTGAAGTGGATGATTTTGGCCGCTCGGGGCCCTCGGGGAATACGCTTGCAGGCCTCTCGTGCCGTCTGTGCGGCCTCTTGGAGCGCTCTTTGGGAGTCTCGAAGGCTTCTTGAGCTGTCTTGGGGGCGTGGACTTCGTCCACGTCGTCTAGGGCGCCTCTCGGGCTGTCGTCGGGCCGTCTTGGGCGGCACTTGGGCCATCTTGGGCGCCTCTTGGGCAATCTTGGAGCCCTCCTGGGTGGTTCTCGGCCTTTTCCGAATACTCTTGGACGGCCATGGAGAGTTCGGGGACCCCCAGTAGCCGTTTTGGGCCGGTCTTGGCTCGAAATGGCGAGGTGGAAATCGTTCAAAAAGCCTATAGAAATGAATGATTTCGTTTGCCGCGGCTCGTCTGGACGGCCTCTGGGGTCGTCTTGGGGGCCATGTTGGGGCTCCTGGGCTGTCTCGCACCCCTCCGTGAGCCCTCATGGGCGGCTCTTGGAGCCCGTCTGGGGGCTCCTGGGGACCCTCTCCGCCGTCTTGGGTCTCTTGGGCCGTTTTGGGCTCTTCTGGGAGCCGTCTTGGAGCACTCCAGATCCGTCTTGGGGCCCTTGCCGGAGCCTCTTGAGCCTAGGAGCAGTCGTCGGGGCTGGGTGGGGGAACTGCATGCGGACTGCGCCACTGGTACCGTCGTTGGAGCGAGCTCCCTCTGGGCCACGAAACGCAGTACTGGGCGGGGGAAGCGCAGCGGACTGCGCCACTGGGACCTTCGGTGGAGCTCCCTCTGGGGCCACGAAGCGCTGTACAGGGAAGGGGGGACGCATGCGGACTGCGCCATTAGGCCCTTCGGTGGCGCTCCCTCTGGAGCCAAAAAGCGCTGTACTGGAAAGGGAGACGCATGCGGACTGCGCCACTGGGCCCTTCGGTGGAGCTCCGTGTTAGGCCACGAAGCGCGCTTCTGGGCGGGGGAACCGCATGCGGACTGCGCCACTGGGACCTTCGGTGGAGTTCCCTATGGGGCCACGAAGCGCTGTACTGGGCGGGGGAACCGCATGCGGACTGCGCCACTGGGACCTTCGGTGGACCTCCCTGTGGGGCCACGAAACGTGTGAGGGGTGTGCCAAAGTGAGGGGGTGACGAGAGGAGGGAGGAGGAGAAGGAGGAAGAAGGGACGCGGGGAGCTGTCTCAAAACGAGGACCCAACACCAAACGATGATTGGGAATGATTGTTGACCGCCGCGAGACGTCTGGACGGCCTCTTGGGTCGTCTTGGGGCCATGTTGGCACTCTTGGGTCTTGAGCCGTCACGGAGCTCTCCGTGAGCCCTCTTGGGCGGCTCGTGGCCTCCGTTTAAGGGACTCCTGGGGGCTCTCTTGGGCCGTCGTGGTGCTCTCTTGGGCCATCTTGGGCTCGTCCAGGGACCGTCTTGGAACCCTCCCAAGCCGTCATGGGGCCCTCACCGGAGCTTTTGGATGGCCTTGGACCGAGCGGGGGGGCCCAAGAGCCGTCTTGGGCCGCTCACTCTTGGCTCGAAACCGCGAGAACATGAAAATCAAACAAGCAGCCTGGCGAAGGACCCAACCATATACAGTTGTGCGTACCGCAATTGTGAATATCTTCTTCGGTAGCGCACCCTATGGGGCCACGAAACGTGTGAGGGGTGTGCCGAAATGGGTGTGGGGGACGCGTGCGGGCGGTGGCAAGAAAGCCGTCGGTCGAGTTCGCTACGGGGTGGCGAAACGTGTGAGGGGTGTGCCGAAATGGATGTGGGGGACGCGTGCGCGCGGTGGCAATGGAGCCGCCGGTGTAGTTCGCTATGGGGAGGCGAAACGTGTGAGGGGTGTCCCGAAATGCGGGTGGAGGACGCAAGTGGAGGGTGGCACTGCGGCCTTCGGTGGAGCTCCCCATGGGGCCACGAAACGTGTGAGGAGTGTGCCGAAATGGGTGTGGGGGGCGCACGTGGACGGTGGCGTTGGGGCCTTTGGTGGACAGCCCTATCGGGCCACGAAAGCGCGAGAGGGGTGTTCCGAAATGGGTTGTGGGGGACGCATGTGGACGGTGGCACTGGGGCCTTCGGTGGAGCTCCCTATGAGGCCACGAAGCGTGTGAGGGGTGTGCCGACATGGGTGTGGGGGACGCAAGTGGACGGTGGCACTGGAGCCTTCGGTGGAGCTCCCTATGGGGCCACGAAACGTGTGAGGGGTGTCCCGAACTGGGGGTGGGGACCGCATGCGGGCACCCCCACTAGGGCCTTCGGTGGAACTCCCTATGGGGCCACGGAACGTCTGAGGGGTGTGCCGAAATGAGCGTGGGGACCGCATGCGGGCACCCCCACTAGGGCCTGCGGTGGAGCTCCCTATGGGGCCACGAAACGTGTAAGGGGTGTCCCGAAATGTGTATGGGGGACGCATGCGGGCGGTGGCACTGGAGCATTCAGTGGAGTTCACTGTGGGGTGGCGAAAAGTGTGAGGGGTGGGCCAAAATGGGCGTGGGGACCGCATGCGAGCACCCCACTAAGGCCTCCAGTGGAGGGGCCACGAAACAATTGAGGGGTCTTCCGAAATAGGTTGTGGGGGGCGCACGTGGACAGTGGCACTTGGGCCTTCGGTGGAGCTCCCTATGGGCCACGAAGCGTGTGAGGGGTGTGCCGAAATGGGTGTGGGGGACGCAAGTGGATGGTGGCACTGGAGCCTTCGGTGGAGTTCCTATGGGGCCACGAAACGTGTAAAGGGTGTCCCGAAATGGGGCTACGGACAGCATGTGGGCACTCTCACTGGGGCCTTCAGTGGGGCCCCCTATGGGGCCACGAAACGTGTGAGGGGTGTGCCGAAATGGGGGTGGGGACCGAATGCGGGCACCCCCACTAGGGCCTTCGGTGGAGCTCCCTATGGGGCCACGAAACGTGTGAGAGGTGTGCCAAAGTGAGGGGTGTGACGGGAGGAGGGAGAAGGGGGGGGGAGGAGGAGTAGAAGAGAGAACGCGGGGAACGTCGTTTTCAAAACGAGGACCGAACACCACAGGATGATTGGGACAAATCTTCTTTACGGGCCCCAAGAATATACACCACCACCACCACCACCTCTATTCCCCCCTCCCTCCTCTACTTGTCTCTTCCCCTCCTCGTTCCTGGGAGAGGGAGGGGGTGAGCGAGGTAGTGGTGTTGGTGTATTTGGTTGGCCCCGTTGTTTTCGCACGCGCAACGCCCAGAATTGTAGTGCGGATGACGTGGGGCTCCAGCTTCACTTCGCGCATCTCGCTCAGCAACGCCAACGCCCGGTGCCACTGCTCGGCCTTCTCGCACGCGCTGATCCCAGCGCTGTAGCTGACGAGAGCGAACCCGTGGATGAAACCCACGGCTTGATGAACCCCTACACCCCTTCGCGTTGTGAAAAAATAGACCGGAGGATTTTCTCTATTTTCGACCTCCAGGGGCCCTCGCCGACTGTACAAAAAAACACCTAGGATGAAAAACCGGTCCCTGGGGAGGGGTCCAGACCTCTGGGGGTCGGCGCTGCGAAAAAATCACGACGTCGGGGGTCTGGGTGTACTCCACAGAACAGGGCGCCGAAGCCGAGCAGCTCGTGGTGCCCGTGGAGAGGACGGGGGGTGGGACAAGAGTGCGAGCGCAGCACCTCGGAGCGTCTGAGCGTGCCGCGGCAGCGACTCCGTGGAGTAGGGAATGCGTTGACTTCCTGGCGTGACGAGCTGCGCTGTTGCTCTTGACGCCGCGTGGAAAGGAAGAAACCACGGCACGAACATAAACTTGTGGCGCTCCGCGCAGATTTCCTGGTTCCGCGCTGGACCCCCCTCCCTGGCGCGCGGAGGGCGCCAGGGGCGGCGCCCGGGGGCGCAGCGCGGATCCAAGAAATCCGCGCCGAGCGCAACAAGTTTTCATTTATGGCGTTTTTCCTTCTTCGACGGAACGCCCAACCCTGCACGATCGCGAGGTCGTTCCCGTCGGCCGACTCCAGAGCAGGGTCGGCGTGGAGCCCTTGATGCCGTCGCTGAGGTCGGCGCCCCGTCGACGCGACGCGAACCTGCGCACCTCTCCCCACTGCTCGGTGTGCTCTCTGGGGCGCCCCTGAGGCTGCCTGGGAGGACGGGGGGAGGACAAGGCTGCAGGTGGAGGGCCTGCTCTTGGCACCGCGTGGACCGCTGAACCCTGCACGATCGGCAGCTCTATCACGAGGCCGTCCGCATCAGTCGACCCTGGAGCAGCGTCGGCGTTGAGCCCATGATGCCCAGCACGGGGGGGTCGCCCCGTCGACGCGGCTTGAATCTGCGCACCCCACCCCACTGCTCGGTGAAGGCAACAGGGGATATGTTGACCCCTATCCCAGGCTTCGTGAGAAAGTTGTGGCCCAACCCTGGGATAGAAAACGGGGGGGCTTCCATCCTCGATAGGGGTGCGTCCGGATAGCCCTCTTGGGGTATATCTCAAGACTCCCGTCCTTTTCTAAGCGGCTGTATGTTTCGTAGAAGAAGCCGGGGGTTGGGGGGGAAAAATCGCCTGCGAGAAAACGGCCGAGAACCTCTCGCTCAGGTGTCGCGAGATGCCCGGATTCCCCCGGGGCCCTAGGCGTCCCGAGGAGGAGGAGAAGGAGGAGGAGGAGGAGGTGGAGGAGGGGGGAGGAAAAGATGAAGGAGGAGGAGGAGGTGGAGGAGGACGGTCGCCTAAGCCCTTCGGAGAAACCCTCCAGCGCGAAACGGGGCAGACAACGAGGAGGAGGACCGCCACGAAGGTAAGGGAGCGAGCGCCTCGGAAGGCGCGGAGATGCGCTCCCTTGCACTGAGGCGAGGAGGCCGCCACGGAAGAGCGCTGGTCCGCTGGGGGTGGGTGGGGCCGTTCCTGAGCCACGTCCCGTCGGGCTCTGAGCGGGCCGCCCTGGTCCTCCACTAATGACCAGGCACCAGTACTCCGACGCGCCTGGAAGCCTGACTGGCGCTGGATGGGCCCCTCTCGGGACACGTTGGGCGTCTCTGGGGCCGTGTCGGGGGCATGTTGGTTCCTCCTGCGAGCCTGCCTCGGGCCTCTGGAAAGCCTCTTGCGGAGTTGTGGGCGTCTCTGGGTTCATTCCCGGCCTGTCCCCCGAAGCCTCTTCTGGGGGGCAGCCCGGGAAGCTTAGTGTAGAATCGCCTTGCGGCCGTCCCGGGGCGTCCTGGGGGCTCCGAAGAGCTCTGTGGGGAATCGCTTAGGGGCCTTCTTGCAGAGAACTTGGGGCTCTTTGGGACCGTCTTCGGGCTCTGGGGTCGTCTGTGAAGCCTTTTTGGCCCTCGAAGGCTTCTCCTGGGAGTCTCTTGCGCAGAGTATGCGCGATGCAGGAGCCGTTCGGAGCCAGTCTTGGTGCGGAGTGGGAAGGAACTGACAATCTTTCAGAAACCCGAGGGAGAACATGCCATTTTGGCCCCGTGGGGCCAGCATCGGGGTCCTCCTGGGCCGTCGTGGGAGGCCTCCTGGCGTGTCTTGGGGCCGTCTTCTGGGATGGGCGCGGGGGGTGCTAAGGGGATAGGGGGGTTATCAGTAGATGCCAAAGTGGGGTATATCTGGCCTAACCTAGTTCATTCGTGGGTTGCTAATGCCCCAAGTGGATCCGGGGGTAAGTGGACTCCGCCCACCTAGCGGAATTGTCGAATCCCCCGAGCCACTTGGAGCATGTGCAACCCACACATAACAAAAAGGTCAGGACAGGGCCCCCTGGAGCGTATCTGAGCCCGTGGAGCCAGGCCGCCCATGGCCGTCCAGGACCGCCCGGGAGCGCTGGGGGCGCAAGGAGCCGCCCCGCCCCGCTGCCACTGCAACGCAACCTTGCGCGCACCGACCCGAGCGGTGTGGCGCGACCCTTCGGAGCGCCGTCGTGAGCGGCTCGGAGCCGCCGTGAGCCACTCGATGCACAAACCCTTCTCGCACGAACACGCTCCCTAAGATCCTGGCGCCTCAATGTTTTCGAGCCGGGCGTTCTCGCTTGATTTCGGGCCCCGGGAACCTCACACATCGATGCGGCTGGAAACATGACCCACAAAGATGGGGTCTGGGGCTCTGGTCGTGATTATTCACGGTGTTATAGTTTTCGAGACGTCGGATCTCGGGGCCCCTGCAGTGTAGAGGAGATGACGTCAAGCTCCAGCTTCGCCTCACACATCCCGCTCAACAGCGCCAGCGCCGGCTGCCACTGTTCGCCCTTCTCGCACGCACTGATCGCAGCGCTGTAGCTGATGACGTTGGGCTCCAGCCTCGCATCGCACATCTCGCTCAGCAGCGCCAGCGCTGGCTGCCACTGCTCCCCCTTCTCGCACGCGCTGATCCCAGCGCTGTAACTGACTATAGGGTTGACCCGTGGCCTTCCGGCAACGAAAGCTGTCCGAGATGGCAAGTGGGGCCAGGGCAGAGATGCTGCCGAATGACTTTCGGAATGACATTGGGCCTGCACTTCGCCTCTGCTGTTCTTGTTTCCTGCAGCTGCAGACCGCTGCTGCCTGCGGCAGGTTGCTGTTTCTGCGAAATGTGTCTGTGTGCTGCCGCTGCTTGCTGCGGACTGCTGCTATTCGCTGTTGCTGCTTGAGGCTGCAGAGTGCTGTTTCTTGTTGCCCCTGCCAGCTGACGCATCCTGGAGTACGTGAGTGGACCGAGGAGCGAGGAGCGAGGACTCATGGTCAAAGGAGGGGGGGAAGCGAGGAGCGATCAGCGAGAAGCAAGAAGGGAAGCAACGGCCGCGGAAAGAGAAGAGAAGAGAGAAAGAGAGAGAGAGAGAGAGACAGAGAAAGAGAGAGAGAGAGAGACAGAGACAAACGAAAAAGAGAGCGGCGAGGAAGGATGAGGAACAGCCTAAGCCTGGAAGAGGCAGACGCCGGTAGGCAAGAGGGAGAAGGGAGGGGCCAGGCGAGAGGTGGAAAAACCGAGGAGGAGGACGAAGAGAGGAACGAAGCGAGAAGGAGGAGGAGGACGAAGAGAGGAGGAGCCAAGAGCGAGGAAAGCGAGAAGCGAAGAGCGAGGAGAGAGCGGCGAGGAGCGAGGAGCGCGAGAAGAGGCCAGCACACGAGTGTCCCAAAGGCCTCGGCGCGCGTGTGGCGGAACGTCTGGTCTCCGCTTGGGTCGCCCATGGGGCTCTCCTGGGTGGCCGGCGCGGTCCCAGAGGGTCTCGAAGGGAACTTCCCTCGGAGGCCTCTGTGGGGCGGTGTGCGGGGTGTCTTAGGGGCCTCTCGGGGCCCTCTCGGGGCCCGACTTGGGCCTCTTGCGGGCCTCCTGGGGCTTCCGGGGGACCTCACTGGGGTCTGCTGGCGGTCACGGGGGCCATCCTGGGGCGGAGGGTGCGACATGCCAATTCTAATTCCACCTCTTGGGTCCCTCTTGGGGCCGTCATGGGCCAGCTTGGGTCACCCTGGGCCGCCTTGAAGCCCTCGTGGGCTGGGGGCCTGTTGGGCCGCCTTGGGGCGACAGGAGCGCCATCATGCAGCATCGGAAACCCGATAAAGCGAGAACGTCCAAATGCTTCCAACTCGCATCGGAAATACATGACTTTGGCTTCCCTGAGCCCTCTTGGGGGGTCTTCCGGGACTTTCTCGGGCCGTCTTGGGAACCTCACGGGCCGTTGGGGACACCTTCTCGCATGCAGAGGTTCCAGCGCTCTGCGGGGCTCCGGGGTCCGCCTTGGGGCGATGTTGGGAGCGTCTGGTTCCATCGTGTACCTTCGGAAGCCCGGAAGGGGCAAGAACGTCGAAATCCATTAAGAAAATTAGAACACCAGTGATTTGGGTTGGGACTCTCTTGGCCCGTCTCGGGGGCCTCCTGGATCGTTGGGGCCGTCTTAGGCTCCGCTTCGGCCGTCTTTGGGCTCCGCTGGGCCGTGTAGGTGGCGTGCCCGAAGGCCCTGTTGGGGCCCTCTTGGGTCCCTCTGGGGGCCGTCATGGGCCGTCTCTTGGGGTCACTCTCGGGCCGCCTTGAGACCCTCTTGGGCTGCCAGGGGGCTCTCTTTGGGGCCTGGTGGGCCGCCTGGGGGCGATGTTTGGGGCCTCGTGGGCCATCATGCAGCCTCGGAAGCCCGCTGAGGCGAGAACATCGAATGTGGTATAAAGAAGCACTGATTTTGGCTTCGCTGGGCCCTATAGGAGGGGCTTCTTGGGGCTTGCTTAGGCTGTTTTGAGGGCCTCCTGGGCCGTTCGGGCCGTCGTGGGCGCCTCTTCGGCAAACTTTGGGCTCTGTTGGGCCGTATATGGAGCATGGCTTAAAGGTCTGCGTGGCTGACAAAACTGCCTTGGGGACGCTTTGCGGCCTTTGGGGCTTCTATAAAGAAAAAGCATACAATTGATCCACGGGACCTTCTCGCACACAGAGGTTTCCGCATTGTAGAAGGGAATAGGGTTAACCCGTGGCCTACTGGCCACGAGATCTGTCCAAGATGGCGCGTAGGGCCAGGGCAGAGATGTTGCCGAAAGACTTTCGTGATGACGATGGGCCCGAACATCGCCTCTTCTGGTGATTATTGAGGCTGCAGAATGCGGCTTCTTGGTCCCCTTGCCAGCTGACGCAACCTACAGCTCGTGAATGGACCGAGGAGAGAGGAGGGAGAGTCAGAGTCAAATGGGGGGAAGGAGGAAGCGAGGAGCAATCAGGGAGAACCAAGAGGAGAAAAGGGCGAAGCAACGGTTGAGGGAGAGAGAGAGAGAGAGAGAGCGAGAGAGAGAGAGAGAACAAAGAGAGAGAGAGAGAGAGGCGAGGAGGGATGAGGGAGAGCGGAAGGAGGTGGAGGCAGACGCCAGTAGACACGAGGGAGAATGGAGGGGTCAGGAGAGAGGTGGGAGGAGCGAAGTGAAGGACGAAGAGAGGAGCCAGGAGCGAGGAAAGATGGGAGGGGCGCGACGAGAGATCTGCGAGGAGCGAGGAGCGTGGAGCAAGGAGGGAGGGAGGCACGAGAAGAGGCCAGCACACGAACACTGAAGCGACAGGGCCTGCTGCCACTGCTTGCTGCCTTTCTGACACGCGCTGATCCCAGCAGCACCGTAACTGACGACGGTGGGCTCCAACTTCGCTTCGCAGATCTCGCTCAGAAGCGACAGGGCTTGCTGCCACTGCTTTCCCTTGTGGCACGCACTGATCCCCGCATTGTAGGCGATGACGTTGGCCCGCACTGTGGTTCGAGGCAGCTCGCCGAGAAGCGACAGAGCTCGTTGCCAATGCCTGTCTTTTCCAAGTGCACCGATGGCCGCGACGTAATCGCGTGAACATCTTGCACATGATTGAGATACTTCGCGGGTCACTTCCACCACTGTGTGAATTTCCATTGTGTTGTCGTCCCATGATTCTTCAGGGCTGCATCAAAACAATTAATACACGTTCGAGAACCTCCCCGAAGTCCTTCATTCTAGGAGGTGCTGGAACAAAACGCCTAGAACCACAGTCGTAGCTGAGCCACAGCTGTTCGATCCCAACCTGGTTTCAGCTAGAGAGAAAGGATAACGATGAGGAGGATGCGGAGGAGGAACAGGACGAGGAGGGATCTGATGTACAAGTGGCAGGCTCGAGCGACACCAATCTGTATCGCACAAAATGTTGGCAATAGCTGGGCTGCAACGCATCTTGACAAGACGGATGCAAGGTACAAAGAACGCGGGTGAACTGGAAAGACGGACCTTTTTTCACACAGCGTGTGGAAACGGATACTCCGAATGCCGAGAGGAAGGAGAAGAGGAAAAGAGAGAAGCCAGGTGGCGAAGGATACGAATCAGCCCTCAAGAACGGATCGCCCCCTGAACTGCTGATAGTGTCACGCTCCCGTATGGAAAGGCCCAGCAAAGGCCCAAGCAAGACACCTTCATAAAGGCCGGAGACCGAGGGGGGGGGAGGGAGCAGGAGCAGCCAGGAGGGAGAAGGAGGAAGGGATGATTTGGAGGCTTGGGAATGGGCACCGACACCAACACAGGAGGTTGCCTCCACCAAGGGAAGACGATCCTAGATTTTGGTGTTCGTGGTAATGATTCGGCTCCCTAGAAGCCCGAATATGACCACCATCACCGAGATCGGGATCTTCCCTCGGGTGGGGGTATACCGCCGACATCGGTGCTGGTGTCGACCTCTAAGCCTCCGAATAACTAATATCAACGTTTATGGAAGTGAAAGGACTTGCGTGGAAGCCTCAAGATGTGGAACACGGGAACTCGTTGCAAAACCTACGATGGTGAGACTCAGCGGCGGCACGGAGGAAAAAGAGCCAAGGAGGAGGGGAGAAAAAAGAAGAGCACACACGGGAAACGCTACGAAAACCCCTTGAAATCGTGTCGGGGCAAGCCCCGCTGGCCGGATGCCCGAGTGCGTGGCCGATAGCAGTGCGCAACGACTGACACGTAGGAGCTGGAGCGAAGGGCTGACCAGGCCCACGAGAATCACAACCAGATAGGGGGCGAAGCGGGGGAACGGGGGCTGAAGGAGGAAAAGGACGGGGGGAAGGGGAAGGACAAATCGAGAATGCTAGTTGTTGGAGCGAGGCCTCTTGAACGCATTCGGAAGAGGCGTTGGGAGCGCTGGTGGCCCACGACCGCGGCAGGCGAAGTAGTGAGAGAGAATACGGCAGGGAACAAAAAGCGCGAGAGAGACGGCGTCGGCGGCGACGTCGGCGGTGGCGTCGCCAGTCGTGGCAGGGACGGCGGCGGCAGCGCGCAGCGCAGCGTCTGCATGTCCCCCGCGCAGTGCACTGCGAGTCATCGCGTCACCACTCGGGACGTCAACTAAGGAACGAGTGGACTTTTGTGGCCTCGGCGTGCCTTGGCCACAAAGAGGTTATCCTCCTCTTCCTCATCCTCCTCCCCCTCCTCCTCCCATCCCTCCTCATCCTCCTTCTACTACTGCTCCTCCTCATCCTCCTCATCTTCCCCCTCCTCACATCCCTCCTCCTCCTCCCTCCTCCTCCTCCCTCCTACTCCTCCTCCTCCTCCCTCCTCCTCCTCCTCCTCCTCCTCCTCCTCCTCCTCCTCCTCCTTCGCGGGGCCGCCGCGCGCCTCGTTCGGCCGCGCGGCGGGGGGCGCCGAAGCCGCCGCCGGGCCGCTCTGCAGGCTCCCGCTCCCGGGGGGCGGGCCGCTCGGGCCGTTCGGGGGGCTCGTCCTTGCGAAGGCGGCGGCGGCTTGGAGGGGGAGGAGCTCCTCCTCGAAAGCTCCTCCTCATCGGGCGGAGGAGGGGGAGGGGGAGGCGGAGGAGGGGGAGGAGGAGGCGGAGGAGGAGGAGAATGAACAGGAGGAGGAGGAGGAGGAGGAGGAGGAGGCGGAGGAGGAGGAAGAGGAGGAGGAGGAAGAGGAGGAGGAGGAGGAGGAGGGAGATGAGGGAGAGGAGGAGGAGGAGGACCAATGCAAACCAAAATCTCCACAATGATGTTGGATCAAACCCTCCCTCCAAGCTCCCTCTTCATGGCCCCCATACAAGGATTCATTGCCTTTGAAGGAAGTGCGCCGTTGGCACACAACCGTTTGAATATCCTGAAGCGTGCCAAAACACCATTCTCTGGACTCCAACGCCCCGAATCAACCTGACGGTTGCGTTTGACGATGCTGAATCCTGCCCGAACACGATCCGTGGGACTTTAACACCGCAAATCAACGTAACTCTCGCGCCCTGACAGTCCTGACCCGTTCCAAGACGCATTTTCTAGTACGCTAGCCATGGGAAGCCGTGGAACTCTTGCATCTGTTTTAGACGAATCTGCGCGACGCTAAACCCAGAACCACATGTTGGAAAAGGACCGCCCTCAATCCGTGAAGCTCTTGCATGTTGTGAATGAGCCCCATCCCCTTCGGGCATGGTTTACCACTGTTCCCTACTAATATACACCCCCTCCCCCAGGCGACTGGGGGCCAACCAGGGTCCATGCCGATACTCCCCACCATCCCTTGTAAAAAACATTGTTTTATATTTATATATATATATATATAAAAAAAACTGTGCCTCCAAATTAGGAACATGCGCAGCCAACCCGATGCGGCCCCCCCCTACCATCCCTGTCAAAAAACAATACAGAGTGCACTTGGCGGCGGCGGCGGCTGCGGCGGCTGCGGCCGCGGTGGCGGCGGCTGCGGCGGCTGCGGCGGCGGCGGCGGCGGCGGCGGGGCGGCGGCGGCGGCTGCGGCCGCGGCTGCGGCGGCGGCGGCGGTGGCGGTGGCGGCAGCGGCTGCGGCGGCGGTTTCGCAGCGGGCGGCGGCGGCGGCGGCGGCGGCGGCGGCGGCGGCGGATTGGCCCCCAGTAGCTGCCCATCCAAAGACGACTGCTGAATATGCTTAGGCTCGGGCCAGGCTCGGGTGCTACGTATGTGTTGGGAGGGCGGGTGGGAGTGAGCGAGACGGCTTGCAGGCGGGGAGGGGGACTCTTGACCCCTCCCCCTACCCCCTCCACCTAGACCCGGAGGGGAGGGGTCGCGGGTAGTTAGGGCGTCAGAAATGGCCTCCGCGAGGAATCCCAGATCATCGGTTGTACCATGGTTTTCGCCAGACTTTGGCCCCCCTGGTGGGGGGGAGCTAATTTGGCACGGCTCCTCCTTTGATCGATCTCCTCCAAAATGGCCCCACCGAGGCCCCCGAGGCCCCCCAGAGACATCCAAGACACCCCAAGCCAAGAGGCCTCGGCGAGAAGGTTCAAACCGCTTGTTATATGTTATCAAATGCTTGCCCACATGTTGGCCTCCTGCCGGTGGCCAAATTCAGGAGCCCCCCCCTCTTTGATCGAACTCCTCCGAGATGGCCCCCAGATGGCCCCCGAGGGTCCCAAGGGGGCTCCACGAAGGGCCCAAGATTTGCACAGAAGGCCCCAAGAGGCCCCCAAGATGCTCCCAAGAGGCTCCCAAGAGCCCCCCTAGAGGCCCCAAGAGGCCCTCCAGAGGCACCCAAGACGCCCCAGGCGACCCCGGAAGGCAAACATCATGAGGTTTGGGCCACAGTTTGGCAATCTGGGGAGGGCAACTGTACTATGGCCCCTGCTTGGAAAGATGTATTACAGCATGGCCCTACTATAAGCCCGAGGCTCCCAAGAGTGCTCTGAGAGGGCCCCAAGTGGCGCCCAGAAGGCCCCAAAGCGCCGCCCCCAAGATGCCTTCAAGAGGACCCTAAGAGACCTCCAAGAGACCCCGAAGAGACTCCCCCTAGGTACCCAAGACGCTTCAAGAGACCCCTTGCGACCGCCAAGAGTAGCCTAAGAGGCCCCAAGAGGCCTACAAAAAGCTCCCGAGGCATCCGAAGCAACTCCGTGAGGCATCCAGGAGGCCTCTGGCCCTTCTGCTCGCCCTCCTCCTCCTCCTCCTCCTCCTCCTCCTCCTCCTCCTCCTCCTTCTCATCCTCGTTCTTCTCTTCTTCAGCCGCCTCTTCCCTCGCCCCTCCTCCCTCCTCCCTCTTCCCCCTCCCCGCCCTCCTCCCCCTCCTCCTCAGGGTCCTCCTCCATCCCCCCCCCCTGGGGCACGACGGCGTCCCCAGTCCTGTATTCCACTGCGTGCTCCCTTACATGCCTGATCAGGACACATGGCCTGGGCATCGTTTCTGGATGGTCTGGTGGGATTACGCGAAACGTCGACCAGTAGGCTGGCCCGAGCCCAAGATCAAGCCCGATCAAATTGGATTTATCCGGATTGAAACCGGATGAAGCGGGAATCAATGGGACTCACCTAAGTTAGGCCTATTTTCGGCCAGGGATATGCCAGCGCCGATGTTTAAATTAAGTTCCCAGCTTGGGAGTTCAATTCTCAGGAACAGCTCCCCAACCCCTCTCGTTGTAAACAAGCAGCGGCGGGCTGTGTTGGGCTATGTTCGGCCTTCGGGGGCCCTCGCGTGGCCACGGGACCGTTAAAAACAGCTCGGGATAAAGTACTTGTCCTGGGGACGGGGGCTACTGGGATGGGGCGGGGATGGCCAAGGGGATCAGAGGGTGGTCAGTGGATGTCAGGGTGGGTTGGATCTGGCCTAACCTAGCTCACTGGTGGGTTGCCAGTTCCCCAAGTGGATGGGGGGGGGCGATAACGATCCAGGCTAAGTGGGCTCCGCCCACCTAGCGGGTTGGTCTGACACCCTAAGCCAACTAAGTCAGGCCAGGTATGACCCCTTTGGCGTCCACTGGTAATCCCCCGATCCCCTCAGCAACTCCCGCGCCCATCCATTACACCTTTGGAGGGCCACGCTGCGAAACGAACACGACGTCAAGATGCGGGGCTCCCCGCGGCCGAGGGGCGGGCGGGCGCGACCGACGGGAGCGGCCCCCGAGGCAGCGGCCGCAGCGTTGCCCGAGAAGGGGGCGTCGGCAGGGGGCGGTCGCGCCGCCGGGAGCAGGTTCCCGCTGCCACGGGGCAGCAGGCGAGGCGGGGGCGGACCCGAGACAGCAGAAGTAGTCCTCCTCCTCTTCCTCCTCCTCCCTCCTCCTCCTCCTTCCTCCTCCTCCTCCTCCTCCTCCTCCTCCTCCTCCTCCTTCTCCTCCTCCTCTTCCTCCCCTTCCCCCTCCTCCGCCTCCTCCTCCTCCTCCTCCCCGCCTCCTCTCCTCCTCCTCCTCCTCCTCCTCCTCCTCCTCCTCCTCTTCCTCCTCCTCCTCCTCCTCCTCCTCCCTCCATCCTCCTCCTCCTCCTCCTCCTCCTCCTCCTCTCCCCTCCTCCTCCTCCTCCTCCTCCTCCTCCTCCTCCTCCTCCTCCTCCAACTCCACCTCATCCTCTCCCTCATCATCAGCATCATCATCTGCGTCATCATCACCACCACAACCACCATCACCATCACCATCACCATCACCATCACCATCACCATCACCATCACCATCATCAGCATCATCATCATCAGCATCATCAACAGCAGCATCAGCATCAGTATCAGCATCAGCATTATCAGCATCATCAGCATCAACATCATCATCATGAACCTCATCATCATCATCATCATCATCATCATCATCATCATCATCATCATCATCATCATCATCATCATCATCATCATCATCATCATCATCAATCATCATCATCTCATCAATCATCATCAAGCATCAGCATCATCATCATCATCATCATCATCATCCTCACATCCTACCCCCCTCCTCCTCCTCCTCCTCCTCCCTCTCCTACTCCTCCTCCTCCTCCTCCTCCTCCTCCTCCTCCTCCTCCTCCTCCTCCTCCTCCTCCTCCTCCTCCTCCTCCTCCTCCTCCTCCTCCTCCTCCTCCTCCTCCTCCTCCTCCTCTCCTCCTCCCTGCTCCTCCCTCTGCTCCTGCTCCTGCTCCTGCTCCGGCTCCTGCTCCTGCTCCTCATCCTCTCCTCTCTCCTCCTCCTCCTCCTCCTCCTCCTCCTCCTCCTCCTCCTCCCTCCTCCTCCTCCTCCTCCTCCTCCTCCTCCTCCTCCTCTCTTCCCCCCAAACAAGGTAACGTTTGTATTGGTCCGCGGCGAGTTGGGCTTCACAGACGGTCATGCAGACGGCGGGGCGCATCCGCTGCGAGTTGAGACACAGTAGGAGCGCAGGCGGTCGAGGGGCGAGGAGGAGGAAGGCCGCGGGAAGGCCGGAGGACCCTTGCCCCAAAAGGAAACAAGGGCGATCGGGGCCGGGATGAGGTGTGGGGGGAGACGGGATTTGGCTGGCCAACATTCGTGGCACAACTCGTATTCGTGCGGCGGACACTCAGCAAAAGGAGGCCCGCAAAGCGAGTGTCCTAAGCAGCTCGGCGCATAAACGTTTAGGAGGAAGTGGGGAAGGGAGGAAGGAGGGGTGAGTGAGAAAGAGGAGGAGGAGGAGGAGGAGGAGTAGGAGGAGGAGGAGGAGGGAAAAGGAGGAGGAGGAGGGACCAGGAGGAAGGCCGAGCTGGATGGAGGCGGAGCGAGCGGGAAGGAGGACGGGCAAGAATGGAGGTAGAGGCACGAGAAGGAGGGCGGAGGAGAGGGAGGGAGGAGAAGGAAGCGCGGAGGAAGGAAGATAAACGGTGAAGACGAGAAGGACGCGGGTGGTGACGGTGATGGTGGTAGTCGTAGGGATGATGCTGCTGATGATGATGATGAGGATGCTGATGCTGTTGATGATGATTGTCCTGATGGCGAGGATTCGACGGATGGTGATGGCGGTGATGATGATGTTAATGATGACGGTGATGATGCGGATGATGATGACGTTAATGATGGTTATGATGACGATACTGGTGATGCTGATGCTGATGATGATGGTAATGATTATGATGTGAGTGATGCAGATAAGGTTGCTGCTGATGATGGTGATGATGGTGATGATGGTGATGATGATGACGACGATGATGATGGTAATGACGCAGATAAGATTAATGGTACTGGTGATGGTGCTGTTGATGATGACGACGTTGACGGTGATGATGACAATGAGAAGGGTGTTGATGTTGCTGGGGGTGATGACGACGATGGCGAAGATGATGGTGATGCCGCTGATGAGGTCAAATATGGAAATTTAGATGATAATGGAAATGAGGGTGGAATTGATGACGATGATGATGATGCTGATGATGATGATGTTGCTGCTGATGATGCTGATGATGAGGAAGGTACGAGAGAGAGAGAGAGAGACACGAGAGATGATGATGATGATGATGATGATGATGATGATGATGATGATGATGATGATGATGATGATGATGATGATGATGATGATGATGATGATAATGATGATGATGATAATGATGATGATGATGATGATGATGATGATGCTGATGATGATGATGATGATGATGATGATGATGATGATGATGATGATGATGATGATGATGATGATGATGATGATGATGATGATGATGATGATGATGATGATGATGATGATGTGCTACGAGAGAGACATCAAGATGTGGAGAACGAACCGGAGGGAGGAGGGGGAGGAAGACGCAGGATGAGGAGCAGGGAGAGGGCAGGACGGACAAGAACAAAGATTTGGCCCCGCCGGCCCCAGCGGCTCGTCCGGTCCTTGGGCTCGGGAACGGCGCTGGCGCCAGCGCCCAATCCTGGCAGCCAGGACGAGGAGGGTTGAGGAATCATCCCCCCTCTCCTCCTCCTCAACCTCCACTTCCGTCTCCTCCTCCTCCTCCTTCTCGTCCTCATCCTCCTCTCCTTCTCCTTGAGCTTGGCTAGAATCGGTTGGACCTGGTCTAGCCTTTTCAGTTGTTCCGCAAGGAAGGCGAGGCCTACCCGCTCACAACCACCGCGCCAACGCTACTTCGGAAGCAGCTGGCTGACGCGTGGCAGCAGTTGGCCGACGAGGCAGCACCCAGCATAGGAGTCGATTCAGTTGGCCTCTCACGTGCCAGAGCCGCTCTTGCAGCCAAAAGGTTGACCAAGCAGGAGAGAAGCCTGCTGATTTTGTTTCTGATCCAGTCGATCTGGACAAGGTGCAGATTGAAGGAGGCAGGGCACGACACAGACAATAGATGCATACGCAGAGCCCACGAGGATCAGATAGCACATAGGCTCCTTGAGCGCCCCAGTACAGCTGTGCTTAGGGAAGGATATTGAGAAGCTGGTGATGTTCAAAAACTGAGTAAGCCCCAAACCTTCGCCAAATATGCGGGCTTTCCAAAAACCCCAAATTTCATGTCCCGAGGCCCGGTGGATTAGGTTTGCAGGAGGTGGTGTTTTGGTCCCGCGACGGGCTCTCGCCAGAGGAAGCTTCGCTGGTGACGTTTGATGTGGACGGGAGTGCGGCCAAAGTTGGGCAAACCTGGTTTCACGCCCCAGGCTTGGAGGTCGGGTACCTATGTGGCCCTGTAGGCAGTGCCCTGCCCCCCACCTCCCCTGCTGCTGAGTTTGTGGCCTATTTAGCTCCCAAAATATTCCGTACTGCGTCGCAGGTTCACTCTGATTTCTAGGGCGTGACCCGCCAAGTGGGAAGCATTTGTTGGATAGAGTAGGTTCCAGGGCCAGGCTTGGTGAAGCTAGGTGGGATGGAGGTGTCTCTATTGCCAAGGTCATCTCACCAGGACCTCAGCATGTGTTAGAACAACGTTATTGATCGAGACACTCAGGTCATTGTAATGATACGGTCTGGGATTTAGAACGAAACGGCCCCCGATTAATTCTCGCGTTTGCCAAATGATGTAATGTCTTGTTTTGCTCAGGCGGCACAATTCAGTATATTCGTTTCTCGCTTGTTTTAAGAACGCGCGTTCATTCGTTACCATGACCGATGTTAACTGGTGAATCCTGGCCAGTGGCATCACGCGTCAGGAAACGACGCAGCAAATAGGATCGCCAAGGGCATGGCAGGCACGCTCCCCCAGCCCCCCCCCCCCAAGGCGGAGATGCTCGCCCCACAGCAGCTCCACCAGAGAGCGAAGCGTGCTCTGCAATCTGTGCCCGCGGGCTTTGGCCCTGCGGCCCGCCATAGCTCCCAAGGCTGGAGGCCACAGAGAAAGAGAAAACGGCCTAAACGCAATATTTTGGCGCTCCGCGCGGATTCTTGGATCCGCGCCTGGGATCCGCCCCGGGCGGCGCCTCCGGCGCCGCCCCTGGCGCGCTCCATGCGCCAGCAAAGGGGGTGTCCAGGGCAGCTCCAGGAAATCCGCGCGGAGCGCCAAGAATTGTTTCGCTTATGCAGTTGTTTGTTTTTGTTCTTCTAGGCCAAATGGCTGGAACCCCCCACCAATCGGGGGCGCGCAAACAGGGATTAGCGATCCATGGACTTGGCACGCGGTCGCCAAATCCATTGATCGGGGGAGGGCTTCTTCCCTCCCCAAAGTGTGGCTGGTGCCGCCTCGCTCGGCGGCGAAGTCCGCGATTTTACCACGGAAACGAGACCCGACGCTAATCCACGCCCCCAACGCGATCCATGTTTGCGATCGCCTGAACCAAGGCAACCAAACCCAGCCGTGGCAGCTCCCTCGCTCGCGGCAGTGTGTGGCAAGGCAGAGCCAGCCATGGGGAAGGCCTCCTCGAGCCCTGGGGCTGGGGCGGCCCCTCCCTGAAGGGGCCCAGGGACGCGCAACTACAAATCAAATCCCAGGGTCCCCCATCTCTTTCCATGCTGTTTGGGTTTTCGTCTTCCTCGCCACTTCCCACTTTCCCCAATTTTCTGGGGGATCGAAGAGTCATTGTGTCTGTGCGTTGTTGTTCCCTCTTGACCCTGTTCGGGAGCGGCCAAGAAGGGGGTGTCCAAGAGGGGGGCGTGCAAATCATGACCGGCGGCATGTGCGCGGCCCAGCGGGGGGACCAGGGACGTAATGAAATAAGAAGAGGCACCATGGAATCTGGGGAAATATTATGGCCCCCGCCATGAAATCCACCCCCCCTAGTCATCACCCCCCTCTTTGCCGCCCACGAACTGTGGCGGCCCGTGCTCGTGCCGGGTACGGCGGGACCTGGCAGAAGACGCGCTGGCTCTGCTGCCTCTGCCACTCGCGACGTCGGAATGACAAGTCCAAGACTAGATTTAGGTCGGGCCTGTCCCCCTAAAGGGGGACTTTCGACTAAAAATGAAAAATACACCGCTAAAACAATAGTCCCCTGACATTTTGTTTGACTATTTTCGAATTTTCCCCCTGTAGAGGGACAAGCCCGACTCAAGACTAGATAGCAGAAAATCCCCGCCATGATAATCACCCCGACAAGCGAAGCCGTTTAGTGAACGCATCCAAGGAAGGAATCGAGCAAGGCAGGGCTGTTCAATGCACGCCCAGGCCCGTTTAGTACACATCAGTTCTCGGGTCCGGGTGGTTGTTCCTCCCTTGAAAGAGTGACCGTGCCGTGGAAGTCTGTCCTGGCAGTGCTGCGGCCTTGGTCAGACTTGTGCTGCAGCCCAACGGTCACAAACTCAAAGTGTTTGACAGAACTTCAGATCACAATTTCAGTTTTGCATGTGCTGAATGTGGAAGGTACCGCGAGTGTACTCTGAAGGGCCTCCACACGAGTTGCACCAGGAAGTTCGGATCCAAGTTTTCGAGAGGCGCCGACGAGCGCCTCCAAGAGAGGGAGGCATCCCAAGTCTGGGAAGAACAGTCCTGTGGTTTTCCAGCCTCCCATTCAGATTGAGCAGGCACCCAACCAGCAGGATGCTGATTCCGAGGCGCTCGAGTCGCAAGAGCGAAATCGAGCCCCTTCCGAATCCGTGCGATGGTCCTCCTCCTCCTCCTCCTCCTCCTCCTCCACCTCTTCCCCTCCTTCTTCCTCCTACTCCGACCCTCTCTTCCTCCTCCTCCTGCTCTTCCTCCTCCTCCTCCTCTTCCTCCTCCGTTCCCGCTCCTGCTCCCAGTACTCCCTCCTCGTCCGTATCTTCCTACTCCTTATCCTGGCTCTTTCCACCCTTACTGCTTCTCCACCCCCTCCTCATCATCATCCGCCCCCTTCCTCCCCTCCCCCTAGTCCCTCGTCGTCGTCGTCCTCGTCCACCTACTCATCCTCTTGCTTTTGCTTTGGGGAGGAGGGGGAGGAGGAGGACGACGACGACGAGGACAAGGAGGTGGAGGAGGAGGAGGAGGATGAGAGGGAAAACGACGATTAGTAGACGGTGGTGGCAAAGTGAAGCAACTCGCTGGATGGTTGAGTCCAACGTCAGGGCAAGTGGCCGAAGAGACGCGGATAGCCAGCCCTGCGAACGGTGGAAAGGGGGGAAGGAAGAGGAGGAGGCGGAGAAGGAGGAGGAGGCGGAAAAGGAGAAGGAGGAGGAGGTCTCTTTGACCCCAAATCCTGCAAGGAGGACGAGGTTGGCAGGGGGAGAACGGAGAAGAAGGGGGAGGAGGAGGAGGAGGAGGAGGAGGAGGAGAAGAAGAAGGGGGAGGAGGAGGAGAAGGAGGAGGAGGAGGAGGAGGGGGAAGAGAAGGAGGGAGTAGGCAGAAGGAGGAAGGGGAAGGGGGGGGGAGACACGAAGGCGAGGACGAGGAAGAGCAGCGACAGAGGAGAGCAACAGCAGGGGCAGGAAGAGGGGGAAGCTGAAGCTGAACCTGCCCGTACGATCCGCAGAGGTGCAGCGCTGAACCTGAATGTGGAAACACGAGTGGCGGCGCCTGCGAAGAATTCATCTCTGACAGCAGGGCCAGCGCGGGGCGGTTCTGCACGATCCAGCCCCGCGAGGGGGGCCCGCTGGGACGCCAATCTCGCGATTCTCGGGTGGCTGGAGACGCGAGCGCAGGGACGCTTGGCCCAGTCCTCAGTGCGAGCCCCGACCTTCAGCACCTCCGCGTCGTGATGGCTCGAGCGTCGGCTCGTGACACCGCGTGGATCGCTCGACCTCGGGCGATCGCCAATCCCTGGCGGCCGGGATCGTTCCATCCTGGCCGAACTCGGGCGGCCGGTGGACTTCGGCCTCGGCCTCGAGCGCCCGCGCGGGCGTCACCGCCGCGTCAGCGCGGCGCGGACCCGAACTCGGCGGGAAACGACGGCGGGCGCAGGGGTGACTGGGCGCGGTGAGGCGCCGGTCGGGCCAGCATCCTATGAGAATCCTGTGAGCATCTGTGAATCCTCTAGGGATCCTCTTTGGATCCTGTGGGGATCCTCTGGGATTCCTACGAGAATCCAACGGCGATCCGATGGGGGTCCTATGAGAATCCTCTGAGAATATCTGAATCCTCTGGGGATCCTATGGGGATCCGATGAGAATCCTATAAGAATCTTATGGCGGGGCGCGCCGAAGCAGACGAGGGCACGACAAGAAGAGGGGGAGCAGAGCGAGGGGAGAGGACGGAGAAAACGGCAGAAAGCTCGATCGAAGCAAGTGTGGGCCCAGGTCGGCGCTCCCGAGGGCGGCCCCCGCCCTCCGAACCCGAGCCGAGCGACACCTGAGGCGCACCAAGAGTGTCTGGAAAGCATGGTCGGGGCAAGGGCAAACGGCGCTAGGAGCCCGAGACGCCCTGTGGGAGAGGAGGAGGAGGATGAGAAGGGGGAGGAGGACGGGGAGAGGGGGGAGGAGGACGGGGAGAAGGAGAAGGAGGAGGAGGAGGAGGAGAGAGGAGGAGGAGAGGAGGAGGAGGAGGAGGGGAGGGAGGAGGAGGGCAGCAGGGGGGAAGGGGGAGGAGGGAGGAGGGAGGAGGGGGGGAGGGGGAAGGGGGAGGAGGGAGGACGAGGGGGACGCGGGAGGACGGAGGACGAGGAGGAGGAGGAGGACAAGGGAGGGGAATAAAGGAGAAGGAGGGGGTGGAGGGAGGAGGGAGGAGGGTGACCCAGCAGGCCAAGCGCGGCGGAGAGGGTGAGGAGCCCACTGCGAGCGAGCGCTCAGCGCGAGCTTGGCGGCAGCTGCCGCCGCTGGGCCCGCCGCTGGGCCCTCCCGGGCCGCGCGACACGCCGCAGCCCTTCGAAGCTCGGCTGGCAGAACTGGGAACACCCTCGCCGGGCCCATGACCCGTTCGGCGGCGCCCGCCAGGATTGCGTCGTGACGACCCCGGCGTGGACAATCGGCCCCGCGTGGATCGTTGAACCTTGAGATCGATCGGCGGCTTTCGATCACCAGGGCGTTCCGTCTGGACCGATCATCGGCAGCTGGCGGCGTTCCACCTGGAACGCCAGCGGCGGGGTCGCCGCCGCGTCGACACGACGCTGAGCTGCCGTGCAAACAGGAGTGACCCCAGGCGAGAGAGGCCTCCGGTGCCAGGCTCTGGGGGTGCTGCGAAGGGGCCAAATCCGCAGTGCTGGGGGGGGTCCCTGTGGGCCCCCGCGTAGAAGGTCACCGCGGCGCCGAAATGACAACGAAGCACGAGGGAGGCCGGGCGCACGACGGGGGGGGGGACAGCGCTTTGAATAAACACAGCAGTCCGCCTGTAGAGGAAGGATGCGCGGTGAGGATGCAGGGGCCTCGGAGGGCCACGTCAGCATTTTTCGAACGAGGTGGGCCAGCGAAAGCGGCCAAGGCTGGGCCAAGGAGGCACGGATGCAAGGGTCGGGATCCACCAAAGGGGGGTGGCCTTGAGGGGGGCATGCGTGCGATCCGTTGGCGCAGCGACCTGCCGCAAACAGATGCCCCCCGCATGCCCCACTTGTTGGCAACCATCGGGAACTGCCTGCGGCTGGGAGGCATTTGATTTGGTCGGTTCGGGGCACAAGCCGATCGAACTCACACACACACAGACACACACACACACACACACACACACACACACACACACTGGGCACACACACACATACACACACACACACTGGGCACACACACACACACGGGGCACACACACACACAGTCACACCCTTTCCCAGACCCCCGACGTCGTGATTTTGTTCACAACGTCATCGCCCCCACACTACGTGTTGCTGCCATTCTCGAAACTTCCTCCTGTAGAGGGGCATGCCCGACTTCCTGTCAGCACGGGGGGGGGGGGCTTGCGCACGACTCTGCAGGGGTGGGGCCGCGCGGTCGCCCTCCTCGCGCTCTCTCCCCCACTTTGTGGCGCGGTGGGGCAGCCAGGGGCCGTCCCCGGCTGCCCTGCCGCGGACCTTCCCCGAGTTTTTTTTTGTTTCTGACGCTGCGCTGCAGTAGGGGCTCGACCACAAGAGACCCGCCACAACAAGAAACCCAACCCTGAGACCCCAGGACGTCCATCGACGTTTGGTGTGGGGACGTCGCGCATTCCGCAGCAAAGCAATCAAAATCTGCAAACCCCAGGGCACCCTGGAGGCACGCAGGGTGTTTCTTGGCATGGGTCTCAACTGTACCTCAAGGTCAGAGCCTGAAGCGCTTGGATGCAACCAAAAGAATCGCCGACTCGGGCGGAGTGAACCACAAATGAAACCTGGCTGGCGAAGCCAAACAAAAATGGCGGGGAGGGAGTGCAGGAAAAGAGGAGGGCCGGCACAAAGCATGCGCCAGCAAGGCAGTGTGATTGGAGGTGGGACCGATGGAACAAACCTGACCAGGAGGAGGAAAGAGTAGGGAACGCACAACACTTGCACAGTGAACGGCGTCTCCCTGCATTCCCCTCCTCTCCATCCCCTTTTGTCCATGTCGCCAGAACTCTTGGGCGGGGGTCGAAGCCCACACCGGGGTGCACAGAAAAACGTATGGAAAGGGCCCACCTTGCAGGCTTGGTTGACAGCCCCTGGCTGAGCGGTGCTGCAGCTTCCCCTGAGTACAGGCCGCCCCCAGAGCATCAGCTCGAGCGGAGGGGACGGGGAAGAGGACGACGGTTCTGGAGGACGGGGGCAGTGAGGGAGGGAGGCGGGCGGCACAATTCCTCTGCGACGTCTCCCCCCCCCCCCCTAGAGGTCCGGCCCCCAGGCCGCTCAGGGAGCTGGCAGCCGCCGCGGCGGCCGCGTTCATGAAGTCGAGGCCAGGGAGGCCTGCGCCACCCACCAACGCCGCCGCCCAACTGTCACCTGATGGCAGTCCATTCCCCCCAATCCCCTCCTCCAGGAGGACGTCTAGCTGTACACCGACACCAGTCCTGGCCAGGGCAGTCCCTCACCTTCTCTCCCCCTTCTGCGGGTGCCTGTCACCCCTGCCCAGTGCGCCCCTCCCCACTTGCATATTACCCCTCTGCGCCCCCTCCTCTCCACTGCCACTTCCCCTCTCCCTCTCCCCGCCTCCCCATGTTTCTCCTGCCCTCTCCTCGCCCTCGCTCCTCCTTCGTTGCCACGTCCGCCCCCGCTCCCCTCACACCCTCGATGCCCAGACCCGTCCTGGGCATCCTGGCATCCTGCCCTCGTCCTGCGAGCCGCGTCCAACTGTACGCTGCAGGCACGCGGTTTTCTGCCCGCGGCGGAGCTGCCCCCCCCCCTCCACGCGCTGGAGCATGCTGGGCGCGACCGCAGGAGGAGCGCGAAGCGGCACAGACGCGCAGGGAACGCCTTGGCAGGGCGGCGAGATCCATACGTGCCCACCGCCGCTGTCCAGGCCCGTCCCCGGCCCAGGAGCGGTGTCTACGCCTCGCTGGCCCAGCCAAGGGGCGCATACACCGCTCGTGGACCCAGCACGGGCCTGGCCAGCGGCGGCGGGTAGGCGTAGATCCCGTCGTCGCCCATCGTAAGAGAAACAAGAGACGGCATAAGCACAAACTTTTTAACGGTCCGCGCGGATTTCTTGGATCCGCGCCCCTGGCGCGCTTCGCGCGCCAGGGGCGGCGCTGGAGGCGCCGCCAGGGGGGCCCAGGCGCCGATCCAAAAAATCCGCGTTGATGTGTATGCAGTTGTTTCTTCTTCGAGTCGCTCTGCTTGGCATAGCCGCGCCCGCGCGCCGCGCGCGACTGCAGGATGACACGCCCTTCCAGGCCCAGCCCTCGCGGGGCCGCACACACCCCTACTTCCAGGAGGAGGAGGAGGAGGAGGAGGAGGAGGAGGAGGAGGAGGAGAAGGAGGGCTCGCCGTAAACCATTGGCGACGGACGGCTTTTCTCCGAGGGCATCTCAGGCAACTGGGGGCCTCCAGCCAGGAGGAAGAGCTCCCCCACCACCTGCCCCCCCCTGCGCAGAAGACACGGCGGACGGAAGTTTGGCATTGTTCGGCCTCGGGGGCCCTTGCCGAGCCTACGACCTCCAAAAAACGACTCGGCACGAAGGACCAGTCCCAGGCGATAGGGCTCACAGTCGGCCCATATCAGAAGGATGCGCAATTAGGATGCAAGGGCATTGGACGCCCACTCCGAGGCTTTTCGAGCGGGGCGCGGCCAACGAACGTGGCCAAGGATGGACCGAGGAGGCAAGGATGCAAGGGTACCCTTGGGAAGGTTGCCCATCCTTACCCATGTGGGTTGACTGTAGAACGCGCTAGGGGTCGACGTTTGGGAACAACATGGCGTCGGAGATCTGGGCACGCATGCTCCTGGGGCCCAGCGACCAGCTCGACCAGGGCCGCTGCAGAAATCACCATGGCGGCCGCGCGCATGGCTCCCATATGCCGATCAGCATCACGCAATCATCAGCATGAACATCAGCAATATCGTCACACCTATTAGCAGCATCAATGTCGTCATCATCATCACCACCACCGCTATCACCATCATCAGCATCATCATCAGCGTCAGCATCAGCATCAGCATCATCCCCATCATCAGCAGCAGCATCATACTTCTTGCCATCAGCATCCATCATTAACATCCCAATTACCATCATCATGAACATCCTCATCCTTACCATAACCATCACCAGAAACAATATCAGCATCACCACCAACACCAGCACCACCACCATCATCATCAGCATCATCAGCATCATCAGCATCATCAGCAATCATCAGCACCACCATGATCAGCATCAGCATCACCAGCATCAGCATTATCAGCATCACCACCACCACCACCATCATCACCATCACCATCATCATCACCATCTTCATCATCATCATCAGCATCACCATGACCACCAAAATCCGCATCATGAGCAGCATCACCACACTATCAGCAACACCAAGCCTCCCCCCCAGGGCCGGCCGCCTGACGCGGCGGCTGCGGCGGCAGCCTTGGCCTCCTGCCCGTGCGAGTAGCGGCACCGGTCGCCGCGCTGGCAGACGCCCTGGCCGCCCCGAGAGGTCGCGAGCGCGCGCGCGCGCGGCGCTTCTCGTGCAGGGGTGGGTGGTGGGTGGGGGGTCATCGGCCTCGAACTCATCCCTATCGCTAAGATTGGCAAGCCAACAGGCGAAAACAGGCTCAGGGATACGCTCCAGGCCGTAAAGGGGAGGGGGCATATTGCTGTTCCAGCAACCCCAGAAGCCCCTGGCTGCTACTCGGCCCCAAAACATGACCCACGCGGCATAATAGACAGCAACACAAAAGCCTGCTGGCCTTCGTCATCAACGACTCAACGAGCGCCTGCACGTTTGTGGCTCTGTGCTCTCGGCACCACATTATAAACCACGCAGCAGCATAGAATCCAGCTGGCTTTCGACATCAGACATCCAACGAGGCCATGGCCGCTTGCGGCTCTGTGCATTCGGCACCACAGCATGACCCACGTGATCAAATAGAAGCCTGCTGGCTTTCGTCATCAGCGACTCAGATCAGAAGGGGGCCTGGCCGTTTGCGGCTCTGTGCTCTCGGCACCACACTACGACCCACACGGCCAACAAAAAGACGCATGTTGGGTTTGGCCATCTGCGGTCCAACGAGGGCCTGGCAGTTTGCGGCTCTGTGTCTCGGCACAACAGAGTGACCCACGAGGGAAAAAACATGTTGGCAGCCGTCATTAAAGATCCTACGAGGGCCTGGCCGTTTGTGGCTCTGTGGCCTCGTCACCGCATCATGGCCCAGGCGGCAACATAAGTACGTTGGCATAGCATTAGGCACCTGTGCTATAGCCGGGGGCCAACTTGCAGCCGATGCGCTGGAAGTCCTAAGCGCGCGAGCTCTCGGTAACACGCGCGCGGCGCTGAACGCGCGTTTAGGTTGCGGCCCCAGCACTCGAAAGCACATGTCCCCGTGCACGTGAACGTGCGCCCACGCGACAGAATATCCATTGCATGGGTGTGTGCGTGAGTATGCGCACTTGTTTGTTTTGTACGTGTGTGTTGTGTGTGAGTGTGTAAGTGTGTGTATGTGTGCACTGGCCTGAATGAATGGCAATGTGGACGTGCACGTGTGCCGTTGTTTGTGTATGTATGTGTGCATCGACGTGTTTGTGGATATGCCTGCACGAATGTAAGATGATCATTGAGCTCAGAATGCAGGATGTTGCCACACAGCGAGCCTGTTGGAGAGCACTGGCGGGATCGCCCCCTTCCATCACAAGAGAATAGACTCGACAGGGTTTGGGCCGCCCCAGGGGCCCTGTCCCAATTCCTCCTTCAACTGTAGCGCCAAGGAGACTGGAGGGGAGGCGGAGACCGGGAGAGGACGACACGAGGACAGGAGGGAAACAATGAGAGCGAGGAGGAGGGCAACGAGGAAGAGGAGAAGAAGCGCAATTAGAGCTAGCTCCACGCTGCCACAACCACGTCAATCGACAGCACCATCACCAGCATTACGACACACAGCGCCACTACGATAATGATTGGCAGACGGATAGTGCAGACACACGCGGCTACCAGTGGGAGAGGGGGGGGGGCGGCAGAATCCTTCTTGGCCCATGGAACACACTCCCAGAGGACCTTTTCCCAAATAGTGTATCAAAGCGTCCAGGTTGTGCCAGGCGGTTGTGATGTCGGCCGGAGGGCAGAGTGAAAATCTCAGGCGGCAACCACATGCCATGAAATGAAAACAAAAATACCGTATCGCGGGAACGAACAACTCAAGGGCTGGGGCTGCGAAACTGAATGTTTCTGGAGAGGGCCGCCTAAGATGACGTCGACCAATAACATCGAATTTTACTTCGGAGCGGAACAGGGGCGGAACATCGAACACCTGGGGCGTCTCGGCGGAGGCACGGAAACACCGAGAATGCAGGGGCGAGGAAGGACTGCAGCCTCGGAGGTTAGGACATGACGATGACGCATGAGATCTGGCAAGTTCGTCCCATGGGCGTCTCGTTCGGCCTCGGCTCTCACCACCGAGTCAGCGAAGCTCTCCGTCGTACCAGACCCCATCTGGCCGACTGCTGAGTTCGCCCAGTGGAGAGTACATTCCACGTGACGGGCGAGGAACTGCCCTGCCCGAGCGGAATCTCGAGAAGGGAAAGCGAGGGAAACGGAAAAAAGGAAACGCAAATGGCGAGGAATCTGCGAGCCACGAACATCCTCGCGGGGGGCCCGATAGGGCCACTGGAAGTCATCGCTCTTGCTCCCTCCCTGGCCTCGTCCTCGAGGGTCTAAGACGGGGGGCCCAGGTGGGGAGGAAACTAGGAACGGACGACTGCTGTGGGACGGAGGCGAAAAGGAAGGCCCCCCAAGGAGCGCAGACCATTGGAGCCTCACTGCCGGCCCCAGGTGGAGAAGTGGGGCGCAGTAAGAAGGACTGTGGCAATGCAGTGTGCCTCAGAATTGCCACCCTCACCTTGAGGCAAAAACTGAGAACTGCTTCCAGATGCATGACGGCTGGTTCGGGGGGGGGGAAAGTGCATTGGGTCGGGCCCGTCCAGGTGATAATAAAACAAAGCAAAAACATATCGACCCTTGAAATAGGAAGGCGCTTGCAGTAGATTCGGATCTGGATATCCGAGAGAGCGTGATCTACCGCCGCTTTACTGTGGAAAATTTCTTGAACCTTTCCTCCGGAGCCCGGGGTCGGGCCCCCCCCCCTCCGAAAATCCCCCCCCCCTGCTGGACCCCCCCCCCCCCCCCCCCCCCCACCCCCCGGCAAACCCCCCTCCCCCTCGAAAACCGAGGGGGGTCACTACCGGTTCGAACCCCTCCCCCACCCCCCCCCCCCCCCCCCCCCCCCCCTCTGGATCCGGAAAACCGGGGGGGGTCACTACCGGTTCGAACCCCCCCCCCCCTCGAAAACCGGAGGGGGATCACTACCGGTTCGAACCCCTCCCCACCCCCCCACTCACCGCCAGCAAACGACTCCCGGTCCCTACCACCGTCCGCATCACATCCCCCACTGTTGTTCCCAGCACCACTGTCCTCACCACCACTGTCCCCACTGTGTCCCCACCAGTGCCCCCACCACTGTCGCACTGTCCCCACTGTCCCCACCACTGTTCCCACCACGGTTCCACTCTCCCCACTGTCTCCACGGCCCCAACCACTGCCCGACTATCCCCACTGTCCCCACTGTCCCACTGACTCCGCCGCTGTCCCACTGAGCTGTCCCACTGTTCCCACCACTGTCCCCACTGTCCCCACCACTGTCCCCACTGTACCTCTGCCCCATTGTCCCACCGCCGTCCTCGCCATCGCCTTCACCACTGTCCCCACCACCATTGTACCCTCCGCTGTCCCACTGTTTCCACCTCATTCCCACTGTGCCCACACCACTGTCCCCACCACCACCGTCCCCACCACTGTCCACTGTCCCCCCTGTTCCCACCATTGTCCCCACCACTGTCCCCACCACTACCGTCCCCACCACTGTCCCACTGTCCCATTGTCCCCACCACTGTCCCGCTGTCCCCTCGCCACTGTCCCCACCAACACCGTCCCCACCACTGCCCGCAGCCCCACTCGGTTTTCGAGGGGGGGGGGGGGTCGAACCGGTAGTGACCCCCCCCGCCTTCCCTTTTCATGATGAGCTGGGGGGGGGGGAGGGGTTCGACCCGGTAGTGACCCCCCGCGGTTTTCCGGAGGGGGGGGGGAGGGGTTCGAACCGGTAGTGACCCCACCCGGTTTTCCGACAGCAGCGGTAGAACACGCTCTTTCGGATATCCAGAAATACCTTCTTCCAACGACTGGCGTGTACCCTGGGCGATACCATGCACATGGATGGTGGCACAAGGGGCCAAAAATGATTGAGTGTTCTCAGACATGCTACAGACATGTAGGCTGTCGAATGCTCCGGACGTGATGGCCTCGGAAGCTCACAACATCCAATCGCTTCATGGACAGTCGCCTCGGGCACCCACCACAATTCTCACGAGGAGAGCTGCTGGAATTGAGGTAGCTGGGCGCTGAGCCGCAGAGTGAATGCCTTAGTATCACCCCCCGCTGTGCCGTCGACTCCATCACCCATGGAGGCACACTCCCCCCCCTCCTCTTGGCACGCCGCAGGTGGGGGCGGACAAAAATGGGGACGCGGCCCGACAGCGAGCTTTGTCCAAAACCGACCGCGGCCGCCCTTGGGCAGGCGACCGCTTGTCTCAAACGGACCACCGCCGCCACCCGTCTTTCGAGCAGGAGATCGACTTCAAAATCGACACACCCCGAAACTTGTTGTCCAGTCGAATGCACGTACAAACACACCGAATGTTCGTAGATCTACGGGCATTCGAAATGTTTGCCGTGGATGCGGCTCAACATTTCAAACATGGGGGTAGATCAATTCTGTAGTCGATCTCCTACTCGAGCCTTCGCCCCCACGTCTCCCGCACCCGCCTCGGCCTTCCCTACCCTCGGAGCACCTCCGAGCACCCCCCCCGTCACCCCCCCCCTCGCCCTGCCGCAAGCCCCCGCCCACCTCACTGAAATCTCCGACGCTGCGGACTCAAAAATGCAGCATCGCAAGACCTCACGACCAGAGCCCTGGACCCAATCTTTCTGCGGCATTTCATTCGGGAGCCCCCAAACGGTGTGGTAACCACACCGGCAGGTGAGTCAGTGGTTCTGCGGCATTTCTCTCGCAGGCCCCCAAACGGTGTGGTGACCACATCCCCTGGTGAGTCAGTGGGGATTCAGGGTCACCGCATGGCTTTGTGACCCAGGTCGTTCGCCGAGGACGTCTTGGGCGACCCGGGCTCCGAGGTCCCACGACCGTGCGGTGGCGGACAGCGCGGTGAGGAGGTCCTTTGGGATCCTGAGGTTGCCGTGCGGCACGTCATCATACTACGGTCTTGGGACTCCCGGATCTGGAGCCGGATCGATCTGTGATGGCCCCGGCGTCCGAAACTTGGACGTGAGCGGCGCGCGACACAGAACACCGCAGCGCCCAGCTCTCGAGGCTCCCCGCCTCCGCCCCCGCCCCGAGCGTAGCTCCCCGCCCACCCCTGCGGCCCGCCCGCCCCGGGCGCTGCGCCCCCCCCCGCCCTGCGGAAGTCCCCGCACATCTCCACGCCCGGCGGCGTGGGCAGCGCTCCTCGCGGTCGTCGTGAGAATTGGGGGATGTGCGGCGCAGGGAGGAGGAGGAGGACGAGGAGGAGGAGGAGGTGGACGAGGAGGAGAACGCGGAGGAGGAGGAGAAGGAGGCGGAGGAGGAGGAGGAGGCGGAGGAGGAGCAGGAGGAGGAGGACCAGGAGGAGGAGGAGGAGGAGGCAGAGGTGGAGGAGAAGGGGTGAGGTGGGGAAAAGCAGAAGGAGGAGGAGGAGGAGGAGCAGGAGGAGGACGAAGGAAGATGATGTTGATGATGATGATGATGATGATGATGATG